GAGATGTAAGAGGTTAGATCTTGATTCTTCGATCGCATTTCGTATTCGAGTGAAACTTGAATACCATCTAGTTTCCTTTATTACCTTTCTTCTTTGATGTAATAAATCATGTATTTTTCCAACTGTATTGCTATCTTTTGAAATATCCGACGCTCTACTTAACATATGTTATAAATATCTGCTGATTTCTACATTGTGTACAATTTACATTAAAAATAAACTTATATACACAATAAGATATTAAGTCTCTGATATTTAGAAATAGGACTTCTACGAAAAAGAGCTGTGCTAGTCGGTAGACGAACGTTACTTGTTTGTAATGTCAATTGTCTTGCATTATGTCTATTGAAATAAATAATGATGAAAACATTAATATAACTTTTTGAACACGAACAACTATTTCTAAATTACATTGATTATTTGTATTTTGTATTGGTTAAAAATCTATTGTTAATATTTGAGTAAATAAATAAATATCATTCAAATGAGACCATACAAAAAATAAATAAATAAAAAACAAAAAGAACAGATTAATCAAAAATAAATAACAAAATGAAGAGATCTATTCATTTGTTTGTTTGATACACATAAACGAAAATTTCTTCACTATTAAATTTAATAGAATTATATATTTAAAGATTCATTCTACAGTAGTTTATTTTTAAATTATCAATCGAATTCAATTTTTAATCTTGATCTCATATTATTTTTATAGAATACTCTAATATAGGTCTATTTAATAATACGATCAACCTTAACAATACACAATCGAGTTAAATTCTTAAATAAAAAATAAGAAATTTTTATTTTGTTTCATTTTTCTTCTTGTTCTTTTTAAACTTGAAAATTTTATCAAAGTTTTATCACAGTAAAACGAAATGTTCGTTTATCACATTATTCATGCCTTGGTTTTTGGTCCTAAAAAGTACATATTAAAATGTTATCGGTGTTATTCGTTTTTACTTACGACGAACGCGAATCGTTTTAACATCAGTTCCAAGCTCGCTGAACTTTAAATATAAGGGACCATGTGATTCGAACGCAATTACACCAGCAAACTTGTTTTCTATTTCACACTCAATAGCAAAATGTTCTCTTGCATCATTTGGTATAGTAACAACCATCGTATGAGGTAATTTTAACACGTCTTGTCGATCCTATTCATGTTTACCACGCCCTGGTATTAATCCAAAAAGTTTTATTGTATAATGCGAGCTTAACGTGATCCCTGTTGGGGGTACTACATTCACAGTGATTTTGCATGCCATCTGAAAATAAATATATACAATCACTATTCGTAATAGTAAATGATGAAATATAAAGATCAAAATGTAAACTTAACATATTTTTGACAAACATCAAATAATTTTAATTATTTAATTTCATGGAAAAAATAATCAAAAGAAAATTGAATAAGTCTTGATTATTCTTTCATAAAAAACAAAAAAGTTCTTTTTATGAAAGAATGATTATTATAAATTGTTGTCGTTTGCAAATTTCGAAATGTTTATTAAATGCAGATATAAAGAAAAATCAATTTAATGTGATTTTTCATTGCAAACATATCGATATAGAGTTAATGATGTATCTAACCAAGTACAAAGTTATGATTGAGAATGCATTCGACAATCATCCAATAAAAATTATAATCATAATTGAATCATATTTAAAAGTCTGTTAAAATCAAATCGAATAAATCTATAATCATAACAAAAGAAATATTCACTAATTATTCATTATTAAGTTTTCAATTGAAATTAATAAATTATCTAATACAAAAAGAAAGAGTTTTTAAATATTTCTTTGATTTACTTTATTTTAGAACGAAATGATTCCAATGGTTTAAATATGAAGAGACAAAGATGAAAACGATCTTTTCCTCCTTCAATTCAATTTTCGCGCAACAGTAATTGATTGGTTCCAGTAATCTACGAATAAAACTTGAAATATCTTGTAGGTAAATAAAATAGAAAGAAAGAAAAAAGATCATGAGAACGTCTCTTATAAAAGTTCTTTTTGCTATACTGATTGTTCTTAGCTTTTTTCCTGTTTGAATTCATTTTTCCGACGAATCTACTTTTAATGAAGAAAAAGCGTAGTAAAGAGAATGACATATAAATCTATTAAGATTACTCGTATCAATATTTTTGATATTTATTATTGATTTTCTGATACAATGCAATAACAATTTAGTATCAATGTTTTTTAGTTCATTTTGCTCTTCAAAAACCTATACCGCGAGTATAAGAACAAAACTCATAAAAAGTGAACAATATGTAGGAAATCATTTGATGTGATATAAATCGAAAGTAGCACAACACTCGAACTTCTGTTCGATACACAGAAACGATAGGGTCTAAAAGTGAACATTTAACTGTCTTTCTCTCTGCCTACAGACCCATGGTTAAGAAGGCCATCCGAATGATACGAACGATAACCGCGAGGTTACACCGAAGCATAATGATAGTATGAAGGACCATCTGATTTGTAGAAAGGATCATAGTGATACTATATAGAACCATAGGAACTTTAACAAAATGAAAATCAGTATTCTATTACTTGCCTATCATGTCTAAAGAAATACTATAAAATATCTCTCTGTTCTTATGTAAATATAAGAACAAAACTAATTATGTATGTAACAGAGTTGCTCAACCGATCACTTTAGTTTTCAATTGATCTGAGACTGGTCTACAGACTTTTCAAAGAAAAAACAAGTAGACCTATTGAATATTTTTATTATAGGTTAATAAATATAGTTATAAAATATGCATAACATAAATTTCTTCTTCACTTACGTTAGTCTCTATCATATATATTTAGTTGTTCTCAATTTAATAACGAAATGACCAAATTATAAAATCTTCTACTAAATAGAATATGAAAACATTAAAAAAAAATCAACAAAATATACACTCATGTCAATACAAAGCAAAATCCTATTATTTTAAAATCATTCATGTTTTCATCGATGACTTTTTCATCAGATTATTAGTGTTGTTCAGAAACATCTGCATCTTATTTTCATCTATTAGATGATATCAAACTGAATTGAATTGTATTTTAAGTTGGATTCATATTTCTTTTGTGCATTCATTCTTTATTTGTCTATTTAAACACATTCTAGCTCAATTCTAATCTCACGTGAAAATAAAAAACAGAACACACTTATTATCAAGAATAAATGCACATTTTTCAGTTGACTTCACTTTTAGAGCTAAACTCTCACTTTGAACTTTGACAGTTAATATGAAACTAGATCAGATGATAAACATTTGTATCATTCATATACATTATCATCATTTCGTATAGCAAAACGACAAAATGATTAGCTCATTGTTCGATTTAAAACAAGATTCAATTACATAAATTACTAGAGATGAAAGCATGCAAGAGGTCTTCATCCTGCAATGAATGCGTATTATTTTAACATTGATTATCAAACTGAGAAAAGAAAATATTTAAATGCACTAAGTTTATAAGACTATTTTAAATATATAGTATCACTTATAATTAGAATTTATCCATGTGAAAACAATAAAATAGTTATCACGAAAATCACAAGGCTGACTTTGACAGTCTACCTATAGTTTTTTTTCACAAGAAAAGATTATATAAATATCTTTTAACTTAATCATTGCTAGCAACTTTTGCTTATCGAGACTTACAATTGCCTGTAGGACATCAACTCAAACTAGCAAATGTGTTTTTTATATGTTAAAGTGCACCGTTGACTGGTACTATGGAATAATCTGAATACTTGACAATACCTTAAATAATTAAATTAAGTTTCAATTTTTAGATTATCCGAAAATTTATTTTATTAATATGAAGACAAGTTCAAATTGGTTTTTGTTCACTTCTATTTACATGAAATTTCAAATATGAACAAGATCAATACAATGCTCATATAAATATTTTACATTCTTTTTCGATGATTAAAATTAACATACACTTCTGACTAATTACATGATATGCTACTTAAAAGTAAATGAAAAGCAGAAATTAATGTGAATAATTTCTTTTTCCGATGATTATTAATTGTTCCTCTTTTAAGCAGAAATTCATTACTGCACTATATTTGATAGTTCGCAATGATGAATATGATTATATATGTTATTAGAAAAACACATTGAATAATCAGCATAATAAAATATATAAAAGTGAACGAAAAACTTGTGAAAATGTTTTTATCGAGTCTTCCTGCATTACTATTAAGTCCATTGATGGCAATCTAAAACTTTGATTGTTTATTTCACTAACTTACAACAATGAGGGGAAAATATCTTTTGACAATCATATTAGTATTGAACAAATTTTTATATTTACGCCTTTCGTACATTGTTTTCATTAAACTTTTCAATTTTAAGTCTATTATAGTCTTACAACGAAAAATATACTTATCAAGAAACAGAAGAATGTAATAGTTGAATGTTATTGAAGCCATACTTGAAGTATTGTGGCATCAGCAACTTCTCGAAGATTCTCCATTCGATATGCACGTTTACAATGGTTCGGAAGATCGCGCATTTTTGACTCCTGTTCATTTTCACCAGTCAACCACCCATGAAAAACGATAAAATTCAATTGTGGAAGACCATTTATTAGTATATGTAATATTTCAGGAATGTGACTACTATTATGACAGTTTATTTCGATGATTTCCAGATGTGGCAATTGTTTCACAATTAAAGAAACAATACCTATCATATCTGGATATTCCCAATCCGTATAAAAATGTAGTTTTTTCAATCCATTTGACATGAGTATATTGCATAACAAAATATCATTGAAAAGTTTGATTACATTTTGCTTGTTTCTTTCATCATCTAAATCATAATTGAAGTGATAAAAAAGCTCTAGAGTACGTAAATGAATCATTTTTGATAAGAGCAAACGTAGTTGACATAAATCGAATGGATCATCAATTGTAAGGGAAGTAATTTGACGACAAGAAACAATAGTTAGTAAGTAAGAGAGAAGTTCGTCATTGGCTGGAGAACATCCACCACCCAATGCTATTTGATTAATACATGTCAAGCGATTGTTCACAGCTGTTGATAAAGTGCATGACCAATGACTTTGTCTAAATAATTTAGAAAAATCATTTTTTTTATAAGCAAATGAAATTTATACATACACGTAAACAATGTTTTTGTTTAAATATTTATAAGCATATAAAGATTTATCCTTTCGTGGTAACGTGTAAGCTTCAAATGTAATATACACTTTGCTGATAAAAAACAGAGTGCACTGCATCAGTGATGGGACCGATTCGGTTCGAAATTTTGAAAAATTCGGTCGGTTCGGTTCCAACTATTGGGAACCGATTTCATTTAAATATATATTCGAATATATTTGTAAACCTGTTCGTTTAAAGTGAATGAAGAAAGTATAGCACATTTTTATGGTTTACTCAACTGTTTCATAAATCTTCAGAGACGAGCAATAGTTTTGTTCATCATTCAGTATATACTTTTACAGACAACCTTTTAGTAGCAAGCGCTAATATTCAAACAAATATTAATTGATTATCAATTTTCATTATTTTTCAATTGACTAATTAAACCTAGCCTTGTTTTGAACTTCAAAATTCTCTTTAAAATATTGCAATAAAGTTAGAAAAAATAATCTAATTAATATTTCAAAATGGATGATTTTCCTGAGCTTTTTAGATCCATCAAGTTTAGCCAGTCATAGTGGTTATTACTTTTTAAACTGTAAGAAACGAAATGAAATTTAAAATTTTGACAAAATCTTTATATCTTGTACGACTACACTTTCATTTTGAATAGATGCACTGTCCATCATCATTACGCTATTATTTTCAAGTGCTCCATCACTCCGAAATGATAAACTAAACAAGTACATAACAAAGACGGAAAAGCATAATATATATAAATTATTTCTTAAAACCTAGGCTATATGACATTTTCACAGGACGTCATTCAAAGAATAAGAACCTGCTAGTTAAAACAAGTTCTGTTCTTTGTGCTATATGACGGACGAAAATGTAGTTAATCGTTCTTGATTAACAAAAAGATGGATACATATCCACTAAACGTACGCTGCAGGCTTTTTCAACGGATAGATATTTCTAAAAGAAAAGCAAAATGCGTATGCTTTTAACATTGTTTGCATCTTAGTATTCTGGGTCGCTCTTAGAACTATAGAAAGTGTTATAATAATGTCTTCAATAAGTTGTTCTAAGTGAATATTCGAAAAAACGACGAGGAATGGATATTTTTTTTCTTTATTATTTAATCGGTTCGATTCCAAAAAAACACGAACCGATCCCATCACTGCACTGTACACTTTGTTTTAGATTTCCATTGGAAATACTGACAAAAATATAGAAGGTCGTTTTTTAACGAATTTGGCGCACAATACACGATTAGTTGGTAAAATGACTTATACAATTATGGGATACCAGATGTCGACTCTTCACGTTAAAAAACGTATATATATATATATAAGAAAAGCGAAAGAAGAACTAACACGATATCCATATGCTTGAGGTCGTGAAAAAGAGTTTGATATTATATTAGGAATCGATTCTATCACTGCTCTTGTAAAAAATATTCTTGTTTAATAACTGCTAATTGACGTTTACATCCTTTTATTTCATTTTTTTGAATAAAATTATTTGACTTAAGAAAAAAAAGGAAAAGACAATGAGATATGAATCAATTATGATTTTCAATATCAGCATATATGTATGGCATTTATTATTGATTATCCAATAAACAGAAATGAGAATCTAATAGCAGTCTTTTCTATTTAATTTCCTTCTGAAAACATTTTACTCCGAGTGTAAGAATAACAATAATAATAATAACTAAAAAATATAAAGAAAACTATTTGATATGTTATCGAAAGAAGAAAAAGAAAATAGAAATTATGCTTGTTCATTTGTTGTTCACCAATGAAGCTGACGAATAAGAACGATAGTATCATCTCAAAGCGGCAATTGTTGACAAAGAGAACAATAACCACATTGTGCTATTGTTTGGAAAGCTATTCAATAAGAATGATACGCAGCATTTAATCGTATGATATTAAAACAAAATATGATAACAAAATTGGACGATCTCTCTGTCGAATTATTCTACGAGATCTTTATTTATTTTCAGTTCCATGAAATATCCAACATTTTTTCTAATCTCAATTCTCGTTTTACTGCTATCGCTAGCAATATACCATTCATTCGTGCTAACTTGGGTTTGAATGGTATGGGTATCGCTGTCACTGAATTCTATTATGCACGTTTATTACAACCAAATGTATGCGATCGTCTTATTTCATTGTGTGTTTCACATACATTAACTATTGATAATAGTTTCTGGCTAGCATCTAATTTATTTGCATTTATCAATCTTCGTCATTTATCCTTAATCGATATTAAACGTTCTTGTTTTGAATTAATGCTCAATACATCTTCACTCAACACATCTCTCGTCATATTTAACGTACATTATACAGAATACTATCAAGCTGCATATACATTTAAAGGTGTACCTGAGGGTGCATATTATACAAGAATCTTTCGTTTATTTCCTTTATTACGTGTATGTCGCCTTCGATTCTGGCGGTATATATACGACGCTCTAGATAGTCAAATAGTTCTACCGCTTAATAAAACTTTTATACCGATTGAAACAAATCATTCAAACTTAAAATCATTTGTACTTCGAGAATGTTCACCAGCTTTTCTCTCACATTTACTTGAATATCATCCACAATTGGAAGAACTCAGCTTTGATTTAAGTACCCCTTGGCTACCTGATAAACATCCATTGTTGAATAATTACAACAAGTAAGTTTCTTTTGTTAAAATCAAAATAACCTATATGATATACGTACGTAAAGTCATTTAATAATATTAGAATAATAGATAATAGTTAAAAGTGATTTCATTTCTAAATTGAAAATATTCTTTTTCAACAATTTTTACTGACTTTGGAGTGTTTAATTGTAAAATGATAATTTGAAAAAGTTCAGAGTTATTTCAATCATTTTTTAATGAACACAATGAATATAAGAAGATAGAAGTTTTTATTTTAGATGAGACCAACATATAGATTACTATGTTATTCATTAGTAAATGACAATCAACTCATATATAATCACAATATAAGTATGATTCAATCGGCCTGATTTTTGAAAGAAAAATTTTTCTCATTTATTTTTTCGTCTTATTATTATAGAACAAAAACTTTTAAGATTACTGTAAAATAAAAATCAATGAAATCTCGAAGAAATATTATAACATACTGCAAAAAATAAGCTATAATATGGAACCATTCTCTTTCGATAAAAGTCATTCATTAATTATTGTCAAAAGTTAACCTTGTAAAATCAGCTGAAAATTCAAATACGTTTGGTTAGTTTCGACATCAAAAAATTGTTTTTTAAAACTGTAACCATTGAATTTTAATACGAGTTCACGTGAGAAAAAAAAGGTTTTTCTTCTTATGCAATACATTATCGTGTTATAGCAAGTCTCTGATATTCAAATATGTGGATATTTGATAATAAATAGTTAAATAAATATAGATTGTCGATGAAAATACGCTCATACTATTTACTAATGTTCCATTAATAAATTTCTTGTAGATTTTATTTATATTTTTTTTTATGTCAACAGTATATTCAGTTAAATATTAGTTAAAGGAAGAACATCTTCGAAATGGGCGTCAATAGCCGCAATTAGACGATGAAAACAGCTGAGTAAAATAAAAAGTTCATTATTTTATGACTACGATATAATACATGATAATATGATAGAAAATTGTTGTATGGAAAGTTTTTTTTTTAATCTTCATCGATGGTAAATTATCAAGAGAAGTATTTGTAATTTAAAAATACAGACTACTATATATAAGTAGAAGATAGGTACTATACGATATGGTGTAGATGAGCAATAGAAAAGAGTATTTTTTTTCAATAAAATGTGAAATAATACATCATGTATTTATGATCATTTTTTATTAATCTATTTCAGTCAAGTTTCTCCTATTGATAAACGTTTGGTTCCTAATTTACGTCGTCTTAAAATAACATTAAAATATGATATAAATGCTATGGAGTTACTTGATCAATTATTTGATCATGATGTTTTATTTTCATTGACAAAATTCGCATTAGAAGGGATTGTCACTGGACCTAATGTTGTTTCCAAGTTATTATCAATGCTTTCTCATCAGTGTTCATATACATACATTATTAGATGGATTGTGAAAACTACGATAGCATTATCGAACACAAGTAGTATTTTCTTAAATACATTGCAACAATTGAAAGGACGAATACCAATCGAATTAGAATTATGTTTACATAATGATGGTTATTCTATTGAAGCTTGCACGTTACCACGAAAGGATAAATCTTTATATGCTTATAAATATTTAAACAAAAACATTGTTTACGTGTATGTATAAATTTCATTTGCTTATAAAAAAAATGATTTTTCTAAATTATTTAGACAAAGTCATTGGTCATGCACTTTATCAACAGCTGTGAACAATCGCTTGACATGTATTAATCAAATAGCATTGGGTGGTGGATGTTCTCCAGCCAATGACGAACTTCTCTCTTACTTACTAACTATTGTTTCTTGTCGTCAAATTACTTCCCTTACAATTGATGATCCATTCGATTTATGTCAACTACGTTTGCTCTTATCAAAAATGATTCATTTACGTACTCTAGAGCTTTTTTATCACTTCAATTATGATTTAGATGATGAAAGAAACAAGCAAAATGTAATCAAACTTTTCAATGATATTTTGTTATGCAATATACTCATGTCAAATGGATTGAAAAAACTACATTTTTATACGGATTGGGAATATCCAGATATGATAGGTATTGTTTCTTTAATTGTGAAACAATTGCCACATCTGGAAATCATCGAAATAAACTGTCATAATAGTAGTCACATTCCTGAAATATTACATATACTAATAAATGGTCTTCCACAATTGAATTTTATCGTTTTTCATGGGTGGTTGACTGGTGAAAATGAACAGGAGTCAAAAATGCGCGATCTTCCGAACCATTGTAAACGTGCATATCGAATGGAGAATCTTCGAGAAGTTGCTGATGCCACAATACTTCAAGTATGGCTTCAATAACATTCAACTATTACATTCTTCTGTTTCTTGATAAGTATATTTTTCGTTGTAAGACTATAATAGACTTAAAATTGAAAAGTTTAATGAAAACAATGNATTTGAATGAGAAATTTTTCTTTGCTTAGCAAAAACTGGTTCAGCAACTGTTGATTTACCTTGTTCTATAGTATATGCTGGTGTAGAACCTATTGGTTTTATTAATTTATTTTTAAAATGAACGATTCATATGAAAGTTCGACAACAAAATCAACTGGTTTGTGTTCTTTTCTTTCATGTCTAATTTTTCAATGTATATATGAAATTTTCATTTTGTTTTAGGAAGGAAAAAAATTAGATCAAAAAGATTCAGTTATTGATATGCTTATACATTTATGTCCTGAACAGTATACTATTGAAGAACTTCGAGCTCGTCCATTAGCAGAAGGTTTGCATTTAAAATTTTTCTTTTTTTTCTTTTATAAAACAAACTTTTATTTTTAAAGGTGTGAATACATCAAAAATAGAATTTTATCTATCGGATGATGATTTTCAAGTATGATTATTTTCTTTTTTATTTTAAACTAGGTTTTCCTTTTTTTTTTATTTTTTGATATTTTTTTTAGAAAGAATTTCGTATGACTAAAGATGAATTTTATGCTTTACCATATTGGAAACAAACAATTATTAAAAAGTCACTTGGTTTTTTCTAAACCAACATATTAATAATAATAATAGTAATCGGCATTTCTCCTTGTTCAATCTCAAATAACGTACCATTACTGTTTATATATACATATATCATAAACTCTTTCGTTTCTTTTTTTTTCTTCCACTAGATAATTTCGTTTAAAATTAAAAATGTTGTTTCTTTGTTTTCTTTGATATTACAATTGATATACTTTGCTTGTTGGCGAATGATCATATGTATATGTGCGAATATGTACTCTTTGTTGTGCATACTCAATTCTTTTTTTTTCAATATCATACAATTAAGACAAGGAAAAATATTGGATGTAGACATACATCTATTTCTGATGTTTTTACACGAAAGATTGTATATTTTCATGTTCTAATCAATTATACATATAGGCACACGCAGAGACAAGTTAGATTGAATATAAGAATGATGTAAAGAAAAAGTAATACACATACACTTGATTATGAAGAGAATTTTGAAGAAAAAATATGGTATAGAGGTATTTGTACTAGTAAATAGTAAAAAGAAAAAAGAACTACAATTATTGGTACAATATCAAAAAGGAACATCTGTTTAATTAATGTTTATATAATTGATGATGATTTCTTATTTTTGTTTACGTGACTTTGGTCTTTTTGACTGCGCGATTATTATTTTTTATTAGTTGATGATGATGAGTCTTTATCACCTGAATGATTCTTTTTCGATTGTTTTACTGGTGGACCGTCTACAAAAGAGATTAATTAAGAAATCAAAAATAAATAGTAGATATTAAAAGACTAACCATCTTCGTAATGATATTCAGCTTCTGTATTCTCATCATCATTTGTTCGATCTTCGAATAGTCCAGCATTACATTTTTTGCTCGTAGTTGCATCGATTTTTTTATTACTTGATGATGGAGCAGATCGCTTTGTTGGTCCTTCTTTTGTTGTTGTTGTACTATCTGGTGTATCATCAGCTGAATTTTCACCTTCAGATAAATTTAGCTCATCTGTAGCTTTTGCATCATTTTCAGATTGTTTTTTTGATGAATCAGGAGTTTTACCTTTATGACTGGTTGTATTCTTTTTATTTGAAGTAATCGTATTACTTTCATCTTGCATTTCTAAAAATAAAAGAACTTATATACACAAAAGACGTATTTCATAATTACCATAATCATAGTCGATCTCTTGATCATTATTTTTATTTTCTGTTGTTTCATTCTTTTGACCTTGTTCAGGACTAGATTTACTCTTAGCTTTCTTTGTTGGTGGTTGATTTTCGTTTTCAGTATTATCATCATCATCGCCAGTTGCTAAAATATTTTAATGAAATATCTCTTATTAATTATTCTTATTATTTACCTGTATCATTTTCAGCTTCTTGATTAGTATTTTCATTTGTTTGATTGAATTTTCTTTTAGGCTTCTTCATTGGCGATTGACCTTCATTTTCAATATTTTCATCGCCGGTAACTAAGAAAATGTAAATATCAATTGATTTAAATTTTATTATTAATAATTACCATTTTCATTTTCACCTTCTTGATTAGTAGCTTTCTTTGATGTCATTTTATTGGTTTTATCAGGTATACGAGCAGATTTAGCTTTAGTTGCTTCATTTGATGATTCATTTACGTTTTCCACATTATCATCTTCACTAGTAGCTGTAAAGATTAAATGAAATATTGATTACTAATTATCTTTGATTTTTACCAGTTTCACTTTCAGTGTCTTGATTATTATTCTTCGTTTTTTGATTTTGTTTACGACCAGTTTTACCTTTAGCTTTTTTACTTGGTGATGCACCTTCATCTTCTGTATTATCATCACCGGTAACTAAAAAGATTGCATAAAATATCTCCTTTAGATTATTGTTAATTGTTACTATTTTCGATTTTTTGATCAATATCTTTCTTTGATGCAGTTTTATTCATTTGATCAGTTTTACCTTTGACTTTCTTTGTTGGTGATTCACTTTCATTTTGTGCAGTATCGTCTTCACCAGTTTCGTTTTCAGTATTATCATCACCAGTATCTTTTTGTTCATCACTACTAGTCTTGTTTTTTTGTTCAGGACCTTTACTTTTAGAAGCTTTAGTTGACGTAGATTTTTTCTTATCTTCATCACCTTCTTCTGTATTATCTATGTAAAAAAAACAACGGTTGTTTTGTATTCAAAAGATATATAAAATAATTAGAAAACTGTATTTTACCTCCTTCTTGTTGTTCACTTTGCTTCGATGTAGTTTTAGTTTGTTGACGTTTACCACCTCGACTATTTGTCGATTTCGATGATGTTTTATCATTATTAGTTTTCTTTGATGATTGTTCATCATTCATATTTTTTTCAGGTAAATCATCATCACCTATATCGGATTTTTTATTTATTTAATCAGTAGCCTACATATATCAAAATAAATAATAATAGAAAAAGATTTGAAAAAAAAGACTTGATTTTTACTTCACTTGCTTCTTGTTGAACTACTTCAACTTCCGATCTTCTACTGGATCGACTAGGGTTACTATTCTATATGATGAAAAACAAAATAAATAAATGTTTTGTTTTAGCAAATATCATAAATACAGAAAAACAATACATACATCGGATTTTTTCAATTTATTGTCATCTTGATTAGCTTTTGTTGAACTTGATTGTTCTAGTTCTTGTTAAATATTTTCAATTGGTTCTTGATTTTCTTCATATTGTTTTTTCTAGATAAAATAATTTCTTATAGGAAAATATTTCATGTTATCTACAAATAAACTTACTTGATGAATAGATTTTGTATCCATATCAATTTTATTTGTAACAGCTGTTGATGCTTTAGTATTAGTTATTTTTTTTGGTGACTTTACTAAAATATAAAATTATACGGATAATTTGTTAAAATATTCATAGCGAAATTATCGGTTACTTACGAACACGATGAACAACATTAATTGTTTGTGTAGGACCTCCAATATCAGCTTGTTTTAAATATAACAGCCTAAGTGATTCATATTCAACCCTACAGGCGAATCTGTTTTCAATCTGGCAAAATAAGCGGAATTCTCCTTGTATATTCGTTGGCACATCAATAGTCATTAAATGTGGCAAATGTGCCACTTGATCATGACCACATACAACTGAGGGATGTCATAATATCCACAACTTGGGCATCGAGATGAATACCCAGATAGGATACCCAGTTGGATGGACATCTACGTATCCTCAGAGCTGAGGAATTTGAGTGCATTTGGTGTAACGAGAATGGGTATCCATTTTTATATTAATTTGTTTGAAGTAGGACCTGACAATAGGAAAATTTCCGGNGTTCGACATCTGACAACACTGCAAATGAGTATTTATTTTAATCTTTAACTCAGCTCCAACTAAATCATGGTTCATTTGATTTCGATTGTCATTCCATATATAAGTTTAACACTTAAATAGATTTGTTCCTTTCTCTTTAAAAGCGCAATAGGTTCAAAACGTTGCTAATCGTCACATTAAAAATATCAGGAGAAAACAGGAGAAAATATAAAAAAATAGCTCCTGAAATCAGGAGATTTCTTGTCAGGAGAAAAGTTTCAAAACCAGGAGATCCCTGGTCAAAACAGGAGCTTTGGTACCCTGGTCACGGTCTGGATGAGAAAGTTTCTTCACTGTGTACTTCAACACTCCTTCTAGATCGTGTTTCAAAATGCTGTTCAAATAGTCAAATACAGTAAAACCTCTGTTAGTGAAGACCTCTAATCTGAACGCATGCTTTAGTCCCCCAAGCAAATGTTGCTATGAGTGAATCTCTATAAAGTGAACACCTCCTTACTCTGAACATTGAACACATTTTTTGGTCCCATTACTAGAGAAAACCTCTACATAGTGAACATACCGGGTGATCCAAAAGTTTTACAATATTTTGAATTTTCTTTTTCTACTAACTCTCTTTCAAGATTTGTGTCTTATTGCTCCATGCTTTAGTAGGCACTCATGCCCAGATCACACTGATAGATCACTTTTTGTATATTATTTCTTTATTACGTTTCAAATGGTTAAGAGCAACGACCTCCAAAGTGTAGCAATTTCCCACTTTAAAGGTGGGGAAAAGGCTCCGGAAATTGCAAAATTATTGACAAATAAGGCCGATCGAGTCACGATACATCGCTGGTTATGTCGTTATAAACAATCTGGTCCAATTAGCGTTAAACCAAAATCAGGAAGACCAAGAGCTGGACGGACAAAACGACTCATCAATTTAGTCAAAACAAGACTTAATTCCAACGTTCGTCGAAAAAGTATACGAACCATGACGAAAGATTTCAAAAGTACATATGCGACCATCAGAAGAGTACTTGTTGAAGATTTGGGAAAGAAATGCTATCGAAAAATTAATGTTCAAAAGCTGAAACAAGATCAAAAACCAATTAGAAAGCAATGTTGCACATGGATTAGAAAGAACATTGATCGCCGCAAAGCGGAAAATATGATGGTTACAGATGAAAAAATATTTACAAAGAATGGTTATATTAATCCTAAAAATGATGTTGTATGGGCTGACAGTCGATGTGATACTAATGACCGTGGCGGTGTTCACGAAAAAGAAAAATTTCCAGCGTCGATCATGATTGCATTCGGGGCAACATGGAACAGACCTACGGAACCGTATTTTTTTAGAAGGATAAACGGTTAAATGGTAAGATGCATTATGCAGAATTGTTACCGTTTTATAAAGAGGAAGGTAAACGGTTATTCGTTCATCAAAACTGGGGCTTACAACAGGATGGGGCAAGCTCTCACACTGACCGACGGGCTCAGACAAGGTGCAAAAACAACTTCAATTTCTTCATTCCGTATCAAAAGTGACCACCCAATTCACCAGAGCTTAACTCACTATATTATTCAATTTGAGATAGAATATCAAGTCAAATGGAATACAAAAAGGTAAAAACCGTCAACGATCTACGTCGAGAAATTCGAAAATCGATCATGAAAGTTAACATTAGCTACTTGCGGGAAGTGATTAGTGCTTTCCTTCGAAAAGTGTATTCTGTCGAAAATCACGAAGGTGAACTCGTCATTGATGATCATTGTTGATTCTATTAGCACCTCTATGTAGTTTTATGAACATTAAATTTTTATACTTTTACTTTGTTCTTTTATCAATAAAATTAACTTTTTGAAAATGTTGCAAAATTTTTGGATCACCCGGTATAATCTATCATATGTGCACTTTCGCCAGAATTAAAAGAGAGAGAAACAAAAAGCGATGCTGATGTTGAACGATTATATGAAAATGGATGCTCGTCAATGCCGTACGAACGAATGCGTCGCACGAAAAGAGCAGAAAAATAAAATCGAATAGACTACGATGAGTTCGTCTATCTCAATAGACACAATTATTCGCTTTCTTATACATTATTGTGAGATGACGGCACGAAACGCGTTGACTTTATCTGAAAAAATACAATTAATTCGTGAAAATGGAAACAGCGTTTCATATCGTGCACTTGTCGAGAAATACAAAATCTCTATCGGAAGTGTATCAAAAATCAAAAAACGCAAGACCGAATATATAGAAGATTTTGAAAACAACAAGAATTCAAGCAAAAAGCGAAATCTAAGAGATGAAATAAGTCAACAAGTCTATGAATGGTTTGTTGAACAACGTAGCAAGAATATCCCTATTTCTGGGCCACTTCTTCAAGAATAATTAACAGTAAATAAATTGCACAGTAGATGAAAGAGTGAATTAATCAGTGCATAGTATACATTGCATACCTACTTCAGTTATTATACAAAACATACGTATTCATAGATGAAGAATTTGAAAAATGTGTTTTCTACATATATAAGGTCAGTCAATACAAAATATCCCTATAATGAACACCTCCCTTAGTGATCACATTTTGGACGGTCCGCATGTTGTTCACTCAAGAGAGGTTTTACTGTAATATTAATATCAGATCGAACAAATAAACGAAAGAAAACATCGATACAAACGATTGATCAAGTTTAATAAGAATCAACTGCTTCGAATGTGCAATAGTCATAGTGTGAGTGTGAATGAATGTTATAACATAACATAAATCAACATTCATAGCGCACTCCCTGAAAAAAGTTCCTATTTGAATTCTGAGATTTCACGGCTAAATCATTTTTTCACCATCGCTATAGCCGAACAGTTACTTACGGTTCTCCAGCTAAATTCTTTTCTCTATCAGAAAGGGTGGAAATTTTTAAACTCTTAGAAAATCGTTTAAAATATGTCAAAATCGCGATCCTCCTATGATTGTAAACGCGCTGAAGCCGCAGGTATTGGCCACATTAACTATAATCACCTAGTTTTCGAGTTTACGATTTATTAAAGGTGGCGCTATAAAAATAGTTGTTCGTTCATGACTTAGCCAATAGGAAAAATAATTAAGACATCAGAGAGTGCACTATGGAATAATTATTTCGATTTTTGTGAGTTGCAATCCACTATTTATGGACTCAAAATATTAATTTAGAAGAAAAATTATTAAAAAAGCGATAAGCGATGAGAAACCGTACTGAACCGGCTGTTTTCCTTGCAAGCGGTAGTTTTGATAACAAAATGAGTGACATGGGGGTTAATTAATCACGGTCTAGAAATATTTACCTATTCTCAGGGACGGCGCGAACGGGGGGTGGGATTCCCCCCACATTGGAAATTTTTGTTTCAATTTTACTCCGACTTGAAGAAAATAGAAGAGATTTTGATTGATTTCCTCCGATTTTTGAAAAAAAACCTCCCGTTTTCAAGTAGGCCCCCTATACTTTTATTACTTCGCGCCGTCCCTGCCTATTCTGCGTTGCAAATATTTGTTTGTCATGCTGTGTCATAGGAGAAGATACGGAGAAAGTCATGATTGCTAATTTTCTAATTTAAATATATATATATTCATTGTTTTTCAAATATTTGCATTTTTTTCAATACAAAAATATTCTATAAAGCATTATATGAGTTTTTTCATCTCACTGTGAATAATACCTTAAAAGCTTAGATCGAACTATAATGATCTCTATGAAGGAGTGAACGTGTAAATAATTGAAATTTCAAAGAACGCAATTTTATTTCACTATATATCCTGAACTATATTGACATGATGTTTTTCTAGCTTCTTGTTTTGATTTTCTGCTGATAATAATGATGTTACACAATTGAATGAGAACCATTAGATATATTTTCAAATATATTAATTAACATTTTGTTCACTTTTTAACCTAAGAGATTTGTTGATCAATAAGAATTTCTACAATGTTATTGCAATATCTTTCCGGAGCCTATCTTTCAATATTACGCATTAATTGGAAATTTTTGAACCATTATTCAGCAAGGTGAGAAAGGTGATACTCTCGTACTTCGAGAGTATAGTGAAATTACAGTTGAAGTAAGTTGCAGCTGTACTTTCACTGTAATCCCGATATACTCCCACTCCAATCCAGGAGTATGCAAGTCTCGCTTTTCTTCCTTGATAACCAGTCACCCAACTGTGTTAATTCTTTTTCTGTCTACAACATCTCTGTGTTTGTGGCACGATCAATAAATAGACACATTTGTAACAGAAGAGGCTGGTGAACAGAAACTTTTCATAGATTATACTAATTTATTATCAGTTTAGATTTTTAGGTTAAAAGAAAAATTTGAAAATCTTCGCTTTTTCTTGCCTAAAATCGCTATCAAACAACGTCAAGAAAAAATAGCGATTTCTTCGAAATGGTGCACCCCAAATGCTGCAGTTTATTATTATATGCTCTATTGATTATTAATAAAGTATCAGGTAAAATTAAAACGATTCTGGATTGCCGCCTGAAATTCAATAACTAATTATTTTTGTTTGCAACAATATGCAATGGAAGATATTTGTAAAATACTAACAATAGCTGCATTCGATATCATATATAAAATTTGTTGACATAATGCATAGACTGTATTGAGATTTCGAAAGTACTACCCACAGAAAAAGTTTCCGACCGATCGGGCTCAATATAAATGACGAATTACGAATTCCCGACAATGTAAATGTTTTAAGGTCATAACTTATAATACTCATAGCGAACCACTCAGTGTTCTATATTGTGTTACTTGTACCATAATCTAGCTAGAGACACATATGAAACTACTAGGATATTTAAAGCGTTCTCTTATCAATTATTAATTCTTCAAGTCTCCTCTAACTGGAGTCTACTGCTGGTCAGCGAAGGATTTCAAACAGCTATAGAAAAAATGTCGACTTAGGAAGATACGTCATTTTTTTAATGACCAATTGCAACTGGGAAAGCCACATGAACATGATACCATACCAAATCGATGTGACTTTTGAAATTTACCTGAAATCGCTGTCTCATTGATGCTTTCTACCATGTATTCTACTATGACTGTACATAAAGTGATACCATCGGATACCAGACAATAACTTCGTGAAAGATACATTTTCTAAAAAGAGCTAAACATTTGATAAGATTCTTCTGAGTTTTACTAAGAATACGATTCACGACAGCCCTCGAACACCGCCATAATACTTATGCTTATAAGTTGAGAAATATTACATCGGTATAAATAGATCAGAAAATTAAGAATTCATCTGGAGAATAGGATGTTTGACCCACAAGAAAACAGCGATTTCATTCGAAGCATGAATTCAACTCTAAGATATAATCATGTATGTTACAGTGACGTTCTCTAATAGACACTATCATTCAGCAAAGAATGGCTGAAACTGAAACAAAATACGATATCGTCGGAGTGATTTAGTGATCTTGGAGATGCAAGGAAGATTGCGTTCGATTTGTGTGTGGATTTCTTTCGTTTGAAATCTTTCCGAATGACAAATTAAAGATTTGTAAGTCTCGCATTTCTGGAATAATTTCCGTTCGCCTTTTATCTGATATCAAATAATGTACACACAATCATATAGAAAACCTAATCTGAAATTGTAAGGAATTGTATTCTAGCCCACTAATTTAATCTAACTTTACTTCGTTGAGACGAGTGTCAGTATATTATTCTTTGATTCTTATTCCTATACATAAATACCAAGCATCTCTTCTTGGTTTCCAAAGTATCTTGTTTGATAGATCAAATAATTTTTAAAACACACCAAGGGATGGATGTAATGTTAAAATAAGAATTAGTTTTGCTCTTTGACATAAATTTTGCATCAAAGAATGAACTTCTGTCAATGCAAAATATATTTCAGTCTTGAAAAGAATTCTTGAACAGTACTTGCCGTTTCTGGGGAATCTGTGTTCTACACTTTACAAGTTCGCAAAGTGACGTAAAGTGCAACAAATCAGCCGTTGTCACTTTAATGTGAACAATACGAGAGGACTGGAAATTTACTATATTCCTTAATGAAAATGCACTTAGCTTGACACTTCTTTGAACTTCTTGAGAGCAATAGTTGGCTAGTGAGAGATAATGAGACAAGCAAAGCAGTGACACTGAGTATAATTCTATCAAGCATCATCCAATGGTTTCTTCATTGATATCTCAGGCAGCTTGAACACTTAAACCTTACATTCAAAAATTCACACACAAATAAGGATTCACCAGTGTACAAATCATTCAAGTGTATTATTTAGAATCTATCAAGCCACACTTTAAACACTTATAATCCAAGCTATTGTCCGAATCCACACAATCACTAGATCTTTCAACCGAGCTAAATGTAGTTATCTCAGACATATGATACGAATGTATGACATAAACTGATGTCCAGGTGATTCACTTCGAGTATCCTCTACTACTTGTTAACAGCTGAATATCCGTACACCCATATGCTTCTTACGATGCGAAGGATGTTAAAACCTTACCAGGAATCAGAATATCGAACCCTCCCAAGGTCGTGCATTACGACGACTAGATACGGCCGCATACAGCCGTTGACGATGACTTATACGGTTGTATACGCACCGTATTTTAACCGTTTTGTATGCGTCGTATTACGGTTGTATATTACCGTGTCAAATACGGCACAATACACCAACCGTTTCAAAGTCGTATCCTACCGTAAACGGTCGTATTCAAGACTGGAAACGACCAAATACCGCAATGTACACGACCCTAACGACATTGTAAACGATTGTTTACGGTCGTATTTCGGAAAAAAAAAGAAATACACATCTGTATAACCCACCAATCAATGAAAAACACACCGCAGACATCAATTCTACTGCACTTGAACAGAAAGCAGGTGAAACATTCCAGCAGCAAAAAATCCTGCGACATCTCACATAAAAAATGCCAGATATCATACTTCAAAAAGATCTTATCCTAACATTGTTGTTCCTCAAAATCCATTGAAAGCAACCGTTGCCGATTCACGGTGATTTCTACTGAATCATACAGTCGGGATCCTCAGAAATCTGAAAAATACAAAAAGCATCATAGAAATCCTGCTAAAATTGTTCTTTAATAGAATTAATCTGAGATCGGAGTAAATGTTCAGAATTGATTTCAGGTATCAATAAGTACTCATTGCGGTGTTTACGGTTTTTCTTATAGTAGATACAACAAGAAATCATTGAAATGATGAATAGTTATGGAAGGGATACAACAACACTATGGTTAGCTGAATATCATGAAAAATAATGGCTTTGGAGATTTAGTGAGCATCTTCGCAGAGAAATACACGGAATTCGATTAGCGTTAATATAATTCGCAGCATAAATGACAATGGGTGAGAAAAAGTAGAAACATCAAAGTGTGGTTTCTCCTGGTTATGAAATCCCACGCTCAGGATTGTAGAAACACTTCTAAAAAGCTTTTAAATTCAATTCAGAGGACTGATTTTGGATGGTTTCTCGGAGATTTCATATAGAAATATTTTTTTTTAGTACAGATTTACTTCAGAGTTGAACTTGGCTTTTAGTGAAAAAGCGATTTATTTCCGATTTTAGTGCGAAGCTTCAAGTAGGCTTTAGCGGTCTTTTTGACATACGCCTTTCAAAAAGCACAAGCACCTTATACACTCTGATGTTCCCCTTTACTATGCGTATGATTTCCTGAATAATATTGATGCAATGAATTGCAGCTTCTTTCTAGAAATCTTTGAAAAAGGATTTAATTATTTGTGATCAAAGTCTGCTTTTGAAAAGCTTTAGATTTTGAGCAGTACTGGAATAGAGCACGGATAGTTGTTTCTAGCTACGTGTCGAGATTTGAGGAGGCTGATAAATGATCTCATGGAATTATACTGATAATAAGTTAAAATTTGGGGCACGGCATGTCTTCTGTCCTTACCCATAACGTTTAAGATGCAGAAATCCTGCTTTTGGATTTTTTCAGTGAAAGCGAGCCGTAAGTAATAGGCTTTGTCGCTGATACGCTGCCAACGATGCAAGCAGAATATATATGGTGCTCCTTTTCGATAGATAATAAAAGCCTGCGAAGAATCCTGGAGATATGTCAGAAATCACAACCAGAAATCAAGGAAACAATGAAGGAGCTGTCAGATGATTAATTAGTATATATTTTTTTGGCTTGCGAATAAATATGAGTATTCTTGTGTTGGTAGAGAGCAACCTTAATCGTTGTTCATTATACTAGCCAGAATTTGCAGTACTCTTGTGCTGTATCATTGCCAAAGATTTATCAATTCAGGCAGTATTTCTTGGTGTTTCGGTGATTTTTTCATATTCACTAGTTGAATTTCAAGCAGGGAATATGCCTGAAATAACAGGCTTGTGTAGGTTATGAGAGCCTTCATGATAGATCGATTGATACACTTTTCTGCCAGATAACCTGAAATGAATCATATCCGCAGGTAAGCTCTATAGTATGTGATTTACGGGTTTATTTATGAGAATGTTCCGGTGTAGTTCAGAAATTCACCGCTGCATTTCGGATTTTTCTCCGCAATAAACAACTGTGGATGTGTTACGGTTTATTTTGATGTTCTACCTGTATATTCCACATGTTTGAAACTCATAAAAAAATCTTAGTTAAATGATTTTGCGGGGTTAAAAAGCGATGAAAATTATAGCATTTCTATGTGATGCATAATAAAATTGATAATAAAAACTAGTTAAACTTCTGATGACAGATTTAGTCAGATTCTTCGATCTTTTTAAGGTTTGATCTTTCATTAAAATCTATTCAATTTCCTCTTCTTGGAAATGATTTTGTTGATTTCTAATTTGAAACTGGATTTCTCTTGATTGCGTGTTCAAAATGCATATCAACTCGATTATTTTTAGAAAAACGAAACTTCTTGAAAGAATATAACAACCACGGAAAAAACTAATGCAAAACCTTTTTTTTATCTAAAACAAAGAGTTAATGGTCAGAAGAAGTTTTTTTGGATATATATATATGAATATTACAAGAATAGACATTTATAATACAAATAAAAATCTAATATGAAGATACAAACTCTTTATATACTTTTTGAGTCTTTTTAATACATGCTTGAATAACACTTAATGATAAACCATTTAAAACTTCATCGACAGCATTTTCCAGTGTACATTGTAATTTAGGATTTTTGTTTGTATTATAAATGTCTATTCTTGTAATATTCATATATATCCAAGAAAACTTCTTCTGACCATTAACTCTTTGTTTTAGATCAAAAATACGATTTGCATTAATTTTTCTGTGGCAGTAAGATTGTGCTACTTTTGATGGAGTAAAATCGTGATTTTCACACGTAAGTGAAATTAGTATCATATTTGAGTAAAACCTGTTGATACTCTTATGAGCTGATGTTCCAATGCGTATGCGCATGTTCATAGTGAAATTTCATGTTCTACCCAATGGTAATTTGAATTAACCAGATCTCGAAGCGTTCTCCTACAATTTCGAAAAATCCAAAGATATTCTGGAATTCTTTATGTTAAATCTGTCCATATTCATTCCAAAAAAATTTCAACTCTCACACTCGTGTATCAAACAGATCTCAACAAATTTCATCGAATTGTAAAATCAGATTTTTCGTCTCCATGATAATAGTCCCAAAATCTCAAATTACTGTATTTTTCTATGAAATTCTAGCACCATATTCGATTAAAAGTTGCCCGTATTCGTTAAACACCTTGCTATAAGGTTTCCAATCATGATATAAACACAAGTATAGGAGATCTATTTAATGATGTCCGAAGACTTTTCATAGCTCATAGTAGGATTTTTTTAGGCTTCTTTAGCATTATTCTATTCGCGCTGAAGTCTGATTTCAAGCTGCGGAAAATATGTGGATTCCACTAGATAGAGTTCGTCGAGTTATTCCACTTGAAAATAAGTACGAGAATAGAAGATTGGTCGAAGTGAATATAAGCGCATTTTACAAGAAAGGATACCAGAATTTTTTTGATTTTTCAAAATTTCCGGAGTATGGTTTGAGATCTTGTTCATCGAAATATACTACTCGATATGGTATACGAAGTTCTAGTAGCAATATGACTATAGGCAGTGGGAAATCAGCTCAAATGAGTATTGACAGGTTTTACTTGAATGCGATGCTAAATTCACCTACACAATGGTCACTTAATACTTTTCACTACGATAGCTTGAGTAAACTCTAATCTAAAAAATGCTACTATACTTTAAGCGAACAGCTAGTCATCGTAAACGACCGTTTACTGTGATATACGACAGTCGTTTACAGTTAGCGTTTAGTTACGACGGTCGTTTACGGAGATTTGTCACGATCCTCATTTACGACTTCCGTATTTCATCGTAGCACTTCGTTTACTATAACAATAAACGACTACAAAATACGGTAGCTGTTTTACACCGTGACTGATAGGTATACGGTCGTTTTCGACTCAGGATGATCGACCTGGGTCTATTAATGAAAATACCACTTTTGTGAAACACGATCTGAAAGGAGTGTTGAAGTATATAGAGTAGAATTTTCGACCCCCCCCCCACAAACCGTTACAGACAAATTAATTAATCAGTTAATTGGTTAATTAATTAATTATTAAATTTCTCTGTAACAGTCTGTGACGGTTTTTGAATTCTCTGTAACGGTTTGTAGTGGTTTCTAGACACTTCATACATCATAATAGAGACTGTAACAGAGAAGCTCCACAGGCCATCAGTGACTGTGATAGGCGAAATCCAGAAAAGAAGATTTATCGTGTTTACCATTTTAATCCCACAGGGATTGCGCTAACAGCTTTTTTCATTTTATAGTTACCGTTCTAGGTTATCAGTCGATCTATTCAGGCAACATAACATTAAGCAACTCCATGTTTCTGCGCAAGGGCGGTACAGGTTGTCCATATTACTTTGTGGCCATTCTAGTAATGGCTTCAACCAATGGTAATTACACATTTCAAAGCGACACTAAAGATGACATTTTCGGTTATCTCTATAATAAAACATTCACACCGAACAATACAAACTTAAATTTCCTTACGCAGGACGATGACGCTGGCCCTGGATATAATTTCAGATTCACTGCGACTTTGTTGAGCGCTCATTCAGCGATTCACGTAGTTACAACATACTATCCTTCTAAATCTGCAGCATTCAAAATCATAATTGACGGCCCCTCGCAAGTAACATTACGTCCATATAACGGTACTCCTCACACAGTGATTTGCCCACAAACCACAACCACAACAACGACTACAACAACGACTACGACATCGATCACGCCGAACACTCCTACAACGACCACAACGGCAATCACGACAGAGACTATAACAACGACTGCAATCCCGACTACAACAGCAACCACGCCCAAGAGTACCACAACGACTACGACCAAAACTACAGCAAAGACCACAACAACAACTACGACCAAACCTACAACCAAAACTACAACAACGACTACGACCAAAACTACAACAACTACTACGACCAAGACTACAACAACGACTACGACCAAGACTACAGCAAAGACTACAACAACGACTACGACCAAAACTACAGCAAAGACTACAACAACGACTACGACCAAAACTACAGCAAAGACTACAACAACAACTACGACCAAACCTACAACCAAAACTACAACAACGACCAAAGGTACCGTTGGTAGTGAGACGACCATTAGATGCCCAACTATCGACATCACTACTTGGCTTCGTGTAGTGCGTGCAATTCATGTCTCATTATCGACAGACATTCAGAAGGGAAGCATTCAGCAGCACCATTTTCTTTGAGCAGCTTTTCAGGTGTAGGTTTAATAAGAAAAACATAATACTGTTCTTCCGTTAGCCCTAAACCGCCTACCTATAAAATGATGGAATACCACTATATCTTTCAGACATTGTCTAAAAATACCGCTTTGTATCCTAACACCAGAATTTATCCGGCACTAACGAAGAGTGGCCTCTATTATTGACAGGAAAACGTGTAGTATTCTCTTCTTTGTTTTGCAGAGATCGAGGGAATCTTCTGGAGTCACTCGTTTGGTGTGTTCTGTACGAGCACGAGCACCAAGTGGGCGTTTCAGGGTCAAGTTTAATTGATTAACCTATGTGTGAAACAACTAAAACGAGTTTAACGCTATCTTCTGTTTGTATTGAGAATATTTCCTGCTCAAGCTTAACTGAGTAAAAGTGTCTGCATCGTACATTCACAGTTAATCGCTGAGACGTTAGACAAAAAATTCAGAAAGATTTATAATAGATTTGAAAAAACTCATACTTTTGAGTGATTATTGTAACTCATAGTTGTTTAAAATATGCTTCATTTATTTTACAGATATGGTGACCGGGGTTCAATCAAGCTATGCAGATGTATTGACATCCAACAGTTATTCATTTTCGCGGAAAGGTCGGAGCGATTGTCCATATTACTTTGTAGCAATTCAGATGAATACTTCAACCGCGGGCAATTACTCATTTCAAAGCAAGGGTACTACTGATATATATGGCTATCTCTATAATAAAACATTCACACCAAACAATACTAGTTTAAATTTCATTACGCAAGATGATGACAGTGGTGATGGAACTAATTTTAAGTTCAATGCGAATATGTTCGCATTTCAGTCAGCCGTTCTCGTTGTTACAACATATAGCGTTTCAAGAACTGCAGCATTCAAAGTGATAATCGATGGACCGGCTCGAGTATCTTGTGGTCCATATGTCTCCATGCCACTCGCAATCACTTGTCGAACAAGTACTCCGAATAATACAGGTATTTCTAGTACTACGATGACTACCATGACGAAAAATGTGGGCAGCACTAGATTGCCTAGTCTATGACACGCGGGTCTGTCGATCTTCAGCAATGGAGTTGGAGAAGAAATGCCTTTACTATTGCGCTTCGAACAGAACGTATTTTTGGCTGCTAACGCGATAAGAGAAGCAGTGCTCGGTTTTTGAAACTTAAAATTTCTTTCAGCGTTGTTTCTGCAAGCGAAGCCATAGTTAATATTTGTTCTTTTTCCACGGAGAAATGTCGACTAAAATCACTGATTTACTGGAGACTGCCTTGAGTCTTATTCATAGCTGACTGATGGTAATTTTGATAGGTATAGCAGAAAAAGCTATGAAATTTTTGATATTGGTCATACGTTTGAGTCACGATGCATACTCTGTTTTCAACTAGATCATAATAAATTGCTTTTAATTTTTACCTAAAATCAATTGGATCCATGCATGAGGTTTTTATCAAATCCTTCTCAATCTTTAATAAAAATCGTCCTGCACGAGACTTCTAATCGAAGTTTAGATTTCGCTCTGGTAATAATAAATAAATATCACTCGTTTTATTGCTGTCAATATCTGATTGGATTTAAATATTTTCCCACCAACATGAACTAATAATATTTTACAAGGAGAATAAAAATATGATTTCGGATTCCTTGAGAGTATACATAGAGAGTTCTCTTTTCTTTGTAGAGAACGCGTAGCCTGCTGAAACGATGAATTTTATGACATTTTTTCAATCCTACTGATAAAGGGTAGAGTTAATTCAATAGAGACTCGTTTTTACTTGATTTTTTTGTATGTACATTATTGATTTGTTTTTCAGCTGCTTGCTCTGCTCCTATCATTACTCTGATGCCGGGGTCATCATCCTTGGAGAAACCCCTTCAATTTCGTCGAAGTCAAGACTTTTATATCAACGCAAACATAAATCGCTCTTGTGTGACATCACTGGGAGCAGTTTCAAATTGGGCTATATCCATTTGTAACACAGAATGCCGTTCTCCGATTTCAATCCATCACTCGATTATCAGAACTGTTAATGAACTATACGTGCCTGCTAAAACACTAGAATATGGCATCTACGAACTCAAACTAACCGTAACGATGGTTGAGTTTCCTATACTGTCGACATCGGTAGCAAGCTATATTAAGATCAATCCATCAGGCATCACTGCTGTTCTGGTTCCTCTAGGCACCTCTATGATAACTCACGGCCATGAACAAACCTTAACGCTCGATCCAGGTACATATTCGAAAGATCCAGATTCAGACGTGTTCAATGCAACTGTAAGTCTATCTGAATTTCAGTTTACCTTTTCAAAGTTGGGCTATGTTCCTATATCGTTTTTTCCGATAGATTCTTTGGGATATCTGACGTCTAATTTCTTAAATTGAAATGATAAAAAAGCATTTTCTCATATGAAATTTTACACATATTTGGTTACAGAAGATGATCACCTCCACATTATCCAAAAACTCCTAAATTTTGATGCTAATCTGACAACATGTTACACAAAATCTATATTTTTTCTTCTCCAGCTTCTTGAAAGTCAACAATACCATTTCTACACTGAAAGATGGAATATTGTACAGTCCAAGACACTTTCATTGTTTCTCAAATATGTTTCCAACTTCAGAGAAAAGAAAAGCAGCATGGAATATATCGATAAAACTGAGCGATATAATTCGTCGCTGAACCACCCGTAATGAATAAAATTGTTAATTAGTCACATGTCCCATAGATTTCACTCTTCTTCCTTCAAAAAGATATCACTCTTCACTTACTCCTGTACTTTTCATAACACCGAATGAAGCATCAAATAGATGTTTCTCAACTCAATTTCTTGGAGGAGCAGAATGGCGTAGTCTATATAATCATGAGTCGGCAATAATTACATTCAATAAATTTGCAACTAAAGATAAAGCTGATCGACAGTATAAAAAAGATGAATATATATATCATACAGTGCACTATCATGGATACTTCCTTACGATCATATTTTCGATATTGGTTGAAAATCCGATTTAATGTACAATTTTTTTTCCTATAATCTTCACCGCAATTCTTGAGATTAAAGTCATCTTTTCAGATTGAATTGCATTCGTTGAGAGTGGTTGGCAATTAAAAACGGCAAGGGCCAATATACCACCTTTCAAAATATCAGAACTAGACGGCACTGTATTTTACACGTCGTTTGTGCATCATCCATCCAATGGCTAGGACTCTAGTTCTTTGAATTGCAATGAAATCACAGAGACAATATGTCCCACATGAAACCGGATGTTCAATGCATGTAAAAAATATGATTTAGGGGAAATATCGAGGATAGCATATTTCACTGAATATATTTCCATTAGCTCTTAGTTTTTAGTCAGCTCTATCAAATACAGAAAGGCCACTTTTTAAAATGGATTCAGATTTACTCAATTATTTAATTGCCACTTGCTATGTGGCGTACATATTTACTGCTTGAGTGAATAATCTTCCACAAAAAAATAGAGCCAAATTGATACTGTAGCAATTCCCCTGAAGTACCTTTTTAAAACTGAACTGAATGCCGAAGAACACATGAATTATAAATTATCCGCTTTTGCCAGATGAGATTTTCACAGATATAAATTGATCAAAAATTACCATTGTGTATGTGCATATTGTTTTGTAATAAACTAATGTCTATTTATGTGAACTACACTTTTATTTACAATTAACCACTGTTGTATCGACAGCAATGGAACTATACCTATTATTGTCGAATCTATGGGTCACCAAATAGTAGTGAATCATGGATACCAATTGATCATAATGAAACGCTTCGACATAGTAGTTCCTGCTTCTCTAACCAATCCAGTATGATTTTATCGTTAGTCTTAGTCTTCACTTTTGTTTTATTTTCTTTGAGGTGATGTAAAACCATGGTACTATCGTTCAAATGAATCGCGGTCATCGATCACCATTTTGGCATATTCACTTGCAACCAATCAAACCTATCAATTCATGGTGACGATGGATCACATCCATAATACTAGTCTTCAAGCCACTGGTTATGCACTTGTAATAGTGGAAAATAATCGCTCACAAGTGATTGCAATCGGGTGAGTTTCACATGTTTCGTTGTAGCCGCCTAGTTGCGTTGTGACTCCTGAAATACTTGGTTGGTTCATTTTTTTAAGAGTGTTGTTTCGTCCCTTATTAATAAATGATAAGAATAGAGCTCTAAATTTAGATGCGTCATATCAACGATGTGTTCACACAATCTTGAGTTTCAAGACATCAATCCAAGCACACAAGTAGCACTCTTCTCGCGTCCAGTCAACAAATCAGCTTCATTAATTAATATCACATGGAATGTCTACTATGTACTGACGAATTCATCCACAAACGTACAAAATTGGACCTTGTTTACTCATACGGTCGGCAAGTATCGAGATACTTGGTTTTTTGGTGAGTACATCTACCTTATCAATCATATTCGTTACACATTTACTTTCAGGCAATAACACAAGTAATTTTACCGCTAGTAAACAATTGTTCCAGGAACATCCGAACATAACACTCTGGCGTTTCGAAGTTATCTATACGTTCAAACAAGAGATAAGTTTGAGTGCACTGAATTTCAAAATTAAGAAACCACCGCAACCTGGCAATTGGTCCATTGCTCCTCCTAATGGCACAACAAGTACCAAATTCATTTTATCATGTGAAGACCAACCCGACATAGATGAGATCAAAGACTACTCATTCTTTGGTAGGCGCAATTTCACAGTTTCACAGTTTCAACCTCATATAGATATATCTAGTTTAATTAAACACACCACTTCATCCTTGAAATTACTTTAGCGATTTATCAATCACGTCCTAATCCTTGAAGGAAAATTGAATAGACTAGATCTATATTCATTCTTTGAGAGACTGCCAGCTTCAGGATTGTACCTTATATTTACATTTGAGACATGCGTATCTTACTATTGATACTATTATCTACAGTCCGGATTCGATTGACAGCAGTTATCTTTCTCGTTGTTTAAGCTTGGACAGCGGGTCTTAGGGAACGCTTAATGCTTGGGGTCACAACAGCCCAAACATTTGAAGTGCTATTACCTGTTGGTGATAGAAATCCATCATCAGTCATTGTGATCGTACAAGTTCGAGATAAACTCAATTGTATTACTGAAACTAACACTACAGCTGTGTCAGTGACTTCTGAGTACACTCACATTACCTCGTTCATTGATATTATCAAAACTACTTCCAACAACAACGGCATTGCAATTCACATGAACCCTCTGGTTCAACTCTTAGAGAACAGCAATCCGGATGTAATCGCACAAGTGGTCACAACAGTTTCACAAGTATTTAACCAATTGAACACTGAAATTATCGAATCAGCTGTCAAAAGTAGTTCACAAAAGTTGTTATTTAATCTTTCATTGTTTTGTTGATCTAGTTGGCATTCCTGCAGAAACTGTTTCTGTTTCGTCGTTGGGCAGTCGAACGATAAACGCCGTAAGTTCCTTCTATTGTTTTCAGTTTCAAACGAGATTAATCTTTCTAAAAATTAGTCATCTGAATCACCAAGCGATTCGACTTTGATTCAGTATATGCAGCAATTGAACAATCACGCCACTGCTCGTGAATACCTCATGAAGAAAATAAACAATTCGCAGATAATTACATCGGACAATTTTCTGTTGCAAGCATCATCTCTTGCTCAACTCACCCAAGCGACTAATCAGCTTACAAGATCTACCTGCGTATGTGTTCTTCTTGTCTATTGTTCTTCAAATAGAACAGAACTATTTAGCTAATCGCATCTAGCAAATGTCTAGCACTAGCGCTTGCTCTAAAAGACATGAATAATACGATTAGCTTTGAAGACACTCAAATGGCTGCTGATCACATTATGCAATGTGCTACCAATGTTCTAAGTGTAAGAGATATTTAACTTTTTTTTATTCATGAATATATTCAATCGATTTTGAAAGGCTATCAATATGCCACTACAGCAGCGAGGAAAGGCTCTCGATATAGATTTAGCTGATACCACAGCTAAGGTAGATAAGGCCGCTGTTGATCTCGAATCAAACTGGGCTGATATAAGTAATGTCTCTTTTTCTTTCGTTTTCTTTATTCTATGATGCTTTGACCGTTTCATAGATCTCTTGAACAACAAAGATAAACTAATCTATGAGAGAAACATCTACGAGCAAAATCTCATAGTAAGATCAGGGACGAAAGTTATGAGACGCAAGAGTATGTTTCATTTTGATGAAATAGGCGAATACCATTGCCAATCAAGCGAATGAAACTATGGTAGCGATTACAACAGCGCTCAAAGTTCATTTGAATATCCATCAAAGTATAACAGTAAATACAACAGCAGTGTTCGCCTCTTGGGAAACGGCATTAAAAACCTCTCTGTTTAATAAAACAATTCAACCATTTGATAGTGCTAAGATTCACCTTCCACTAACATTGAATTCGAATCTGAGCGATAGTGAAGTAGTTTCGTTACGGGTGAGTTATTTTTAAATGATGCCGATTCATATTCATTCAATATTTTATAGTTCGTAATGCAACCACTTGCATTAGCTAGTGCCACTCATTCTCAAGTGAATACTAGCATGTCGACGATGATTTCATTTTCGGTGCTTGATTCCAATGGCACAGAGATTCCAATTGTCACCGACGACGAACACCCTATTGAGATTATCATTCCACGAGATCCCAACTTCATAATACCACCCATGATCTTACATAATGTTACGAAAATGTATGCCCCCACACAACAGTTTCACTTTCAGACCTTTAATATTACACAATCGAACGAAAATTTAACTGTCTCTCTTCATTTCGAAATGCGTCCTCGTAATCCAAGCCTAAATTATTTATTGATCTTGAAGTTTGACGGTCAACCTCATTTAAACAGTACGATTAAAAATATCGACGATTGGTCGTTATTATGTTCTTCAAGTGAGTTTTGATTTCGTCTTTGACTAATTCAACATACAAATCGTAGATATGTCTGAGGATGGTATTCATAAATACTTTATAAATAACAATCGCAGCGCTGCACACCAACTTGTTCACTTCGGTTTGCGTGAGCTCAATCAGACCGAACCCTGTTGGCAAAACTTGTCTACTATCCCCGTCTATGATGCACCATTCAATTTTTCGTCAGATTATGAACTTCGAATTTACACGTCTGCTTGCTATTATCTTGATTCAAATAATAACTGGCAGTCGGATGGAATATTGGTAAGCTTTTTCTCGTCTATCATCATTATTATATTGATATTATCGGATATACTAGGTTGGATCGAAGACGAATCATTATCAGACGCAATGTTTTTCTACTCATCTGAGTACTTTCACTGGTAGTTACGCTAATGCAGTTAATTTAATCATCGAAAGTTCAGTGGTTCCCGCTAATGACACAATAGACATCGTTTACATGAATACTCTTCATTCTTCTAATGACTGCGCGAATGACAGCAATGCGTTTATTTTGGCTATTTCTAAGTAGGCTGTATCAATACTATTCTAATAAAAATTTTCATTGGAATTTTATTTATTATAATATATTTAATCATGAAATGCCACCACACATGCTAATTTATCTTCAATATCGAACTACTTCAGCTTTATGTCCTGCACAAACTAGTAATATCAGCCAAGATATTTTAATTGTATGAATCAATAAGCTTTCATTAGAACTCGAGTCACAACAAGACACTGATGTACACTGCGAAATACGTTTTTGTTGATTCATTCGAATGCTGTACTGGCTTCTATGATTGTTGTGCTTTTAAATGATTTCTATGAATAAAAATGCAATATACGGAAGTTTGATTGATTCGCCTTAAGAAATCAAAGATGGGAAAGCTACATTTGAGTCATTCTACAGGATAAAGTTTAGAAGAAAACATCCCAAGCCACACCCATAACCAATTTTCGGTATGTTCCACACTTCGAAACAAAGATCGTGAAAATCGTCCTCTTTTCTTCAACTAAACCAAGAAAAAAGATCAATTTTTCCTATGTCCCAACATTCAAAATATTTAAAAAACAGCATATAATCAGAATCTTTGTCGTTTTTCTCTCTTGAATCAGGAAAAACAAACAACAGTTATCCTTTCAAACAAACGTTTTTTTAATTTACATATTCGATCAAACTATCTCATATTACTCACTAACAAAATTTTATTTCTATAAATCCGTTTCTCACAACATTTATAGAATAATCAACAATTCCAATCTCAACTAGTTTATAAACTCTACTGTGACATATATATACGTACATTCGCAAAAACAAATCTTCACCAATATCCACTAGATTCATTCAAAGAAAAACACATCAAAAACTACAATCTGTCGAAAATTCCAAAATACTTTAACTACTTATATACACAAAACCATATGGCGAGACCCTTGAGAAAGATTGAAATGTGTCATGGTTTCTCTTTTACCCATCCTCACTCACACTCTCAAGAAATTCTCTGCTTTTCTTTGAACTTAATTATGGATTGTGAATCTTGGAAGTATTCTTCTGTTTCGCGTGCGAGAGAATTTTCTTTCAAAGCTATCTATCTCAGTTAAGACAGTGCAGAGTGAAAGCTACGTCATGAAACCTTTGAGAAATGTAGAAACTAGTCGTGACTTTCTTTTTTTATGATAATCACCCTTACTCCAAACAAGATTAGAATTTTCCCTATGTGCAGAATGGAAAGAGAGCAGAAACTGGCTTGTCGCTCTGCACGCAACTGTTCGAATGAAATGTATATCCTATGAGTTTTCCTATTCCCTACTTACTCAATGAGCTTTATTTTAATTTTATATGTCATTATCATAGAAATCATTTTTCCTTCATTCGATATTGTATTGTTGTTTGTCTGTCATGGCGCCCTACAAACTATTGAAAATGTCTGAAACAGTTGACAGTATTCATGTCGATAGTTTAAAAAACAGTGTACTTAAGGAAAAGAGAAAAGAAAGAAAAACAAATTTTAGTGAGAGGACGGGACAAGTTTATGAAGAAAGGAGGCGAGTTGCATTGTATTTCTATTTATTTTATTCAACCGTTGTCGTACGAAAGCACATGGGCTCAAGTTCTTCACAAAATATATCCTTGCAAAGAGACGTCGTTGACAATGAACATCCTTCACTACCAATTCCAAAGCTATTTTATGCGTGGCTTGACAATTCCATCGATTCTATTCCTACTGAAGTACTAGATTTTCAAAGAAAAATTCAGGCATCATTGGAAAATAAAAAACTAAACATCTTTGATGATGAAATCGATTGCGAAGGTTTCATTCGAGAGCAATCACTTATTGATAAAGTTATCGTTATTGTCAATGCGATTATGGCTGAGTTCTTTGTTCCGCGTGCACATAACCTTTGCCAAGTCGCTTGTATTTTAATCTACTACCAAACCGAAGATACAACTAGTCAACGTCGTTTCGGCAATTCGGTTGATAGTTTTAGAAAGGTAAGTTTCAATGGAAAGTATGCCAAGCATTAATCTGCGAGTAGAACAAGAGGCAAAACTCAAAAAGTGTCCTTCGATGAAACGTGCTTCAATAATGTAGAATACCAAAAATTGCATGTTTTACGACTTTTCGTTTCGAAATTCTGTATTTCATTTGTCGATTTTCCTATGGCATTTTTTAAAAGTTTGATCTTTTGAATTTTTCGATTTTGTCACTCCTGGTTTTGGTTGTCTCTGTTTCCACATCAGACTTTTTGAGTTCTCAAGTTTTTTATACTTCATGAATTTGACAATTTCGGTAAGATCTTCTTCTTTCATAGAACCATCTTACTGATCCGTCAGTGGTCAAAACGAGAATAAAAAGACGAAAAAGTTTAAACCCTCATCTAAAAAACTGAAACCTAAAAAATCTGTAACTAGAAGGCGAGCCACTTTTTTGACACTCAGCACTATTCGCGATGTAGAGCTATATACTTAATACTAATCGTTTTGTACTTAGATCCCAAATCACGTATTTTGTAGTTTTATCATGAGAAGAATTTCATTCAGAATGATTTTACATCAAGTTAATAATTAAATATATCGGGGCTGATATTTCCGCCGTAGATATCTTAAAATAACTCTAATTTATAGTAGAATTTCGTATACTTATTTCAGGTAAAATATATACGTATGGATCAACTGGTAGCTGCTTTTGATGCCTTTGTCGCTCGATGGCAGCGCAATGCCATTGAATCATTTTCAATCGATTTATTTCTTGAAAATAGGAGTGACGAATCAGAAGATCGATCAGCTTCGGATATTAATGCATCTTATTTTTACACACAATTACTCATAAATACGCTAATTCGACTAAAATATTCATCATATGATATCAATGAATTTGCTGAAGCGTGCGCAAAAGAGTATGCTGCTGATTCTGCTAAATTGAAAGAAGTACAGAGTATATATAATAATTATAAACCACAAGACGCACTTTGTTGGTATACGAAACCAACATTTCTCTACGCTGTATTAAATCAAGCGCTTCGAGTGCGTAATAGTAATTTAATCCCGCTCTATCGCTTTTTCATTCGTGATGTGTACTCTCAATTGGTCATTAATCAATGTAAGGCACCCGTCCGTGTTTATCGAGGACAATTAATATCGAAATATGAATTAAAACGAATGCGAGAATCGAAAGGACGTTTGATTGCTATGAATTCCTTTTTATCAACAAGTTTGGATCGAGATTCTGCCAAATTTTTTTTGGGCGGCGTTGAAAATACGCAAACAACAAGAGAGCAAAACGTTATCCCAGTTCTATTTGAAATCTATGCTGATCCTGTTGTCGCGTCCATGACGAAAAAGCCATTTGCCGATATTACACCTTTTAGTCATTTTGACGGAGCTGAAGAAGAAATTCTTTTCATGGTTGGTTCTATCTTTCGTTTGCATAATGTTCACAAAGAGGTCTCTATGTGGATTGTGGATATGACGCTGTCAGATGACAATGAGGATCAAGCAAGAACATCATTCAACTACATGATTAAAAGTAAGAATCAAGAAGAGTTGCAAACTGATGAGCCAACCTTTCGAACACTGGGAACATTACTTTTACTATTGGGCTGTACGGATCTTAGTGAAAAGTACATTCAACGACAACTTCATGAAATGAATTTGCTAAAAACATGTGCCACTACTGAAACAGAAGATATTACACACAATTTCATCATAGAACAGGCGAAGTGTCATGAAATACTCGCAAATGTAGCACTGGATCAAGGAAAGTATAGACTTACAATTCGAACCTTCAATCAAGCACTAGAGATCTATACGATGATATTTAAGGATACTAAAGATGTTTTTTTTGCTAAAATTTATATGCAACTTGGTTCAGTGTATCTCCTGAAGTCAAAACCAAGACGTGCTTTGAAATTATTCGAAGCAGCGTTGTCTATTTATCAGCAGCATTATGGAGATGAACATTTAAGTATTGCTAATTGCTATCAGTCGATGTCATTAGCGTGTTCTCACCTTCGAAAACACAGCAAAGCACACGAATACCTCATGAAAGGATATGAAATGCATCAACGCTTGAAACCAGAGCCTGGTGCTGGTTTTTTGCCAACAAATCATACTCTTACAGGTGCTGAAGATCCTTGGTATTCTGTTCCTTTTCACCATCGTCAAGCAACATCGTCGCAACTGAACAGAAAATCAAGTGATTCGTTAGTAGAATTGCAAAGAACGACTACAGATGCTATCGATATCAATAATAGTGATGATGATGAAATCGACGATAGTTGGGAAATGCCATGTCAACCATTTATGACACCCAAAATGCTGTATTGTGAAACAGAAGATCATCAAGTAGTCGAGATTCCATTAACAACTGTGCGTACAATTTTGTATGAATGCCCTCGATGCGAAAAATGCGTTAGACTACGTCCAATGTGCTCTATTTTAAAGGGTACTCCTTGCCGAAAATGTATCCGAAAAATGATATGCTGTTGCTAATAGTAGAATTGATAAACAAACGCAAATATATTAGTAGACCACTTGTCGAATAAACACAAATTTTGAAAAAACAAGATAAAAGTTATGTGCATACAGAGAGCTGTTGTAGAGATTGAAATTTCATTCAGCATCTCAGCTTTTCCTCTGTAGTGTTAACTGTGTGTAATATAAGTATTCCGTAGGACTATCAAAGAATATGCCACGGGTGTGGATGAGTGCTGTCGGTGCGAGTGTGACTATGCATTCGAAAAGACGCACATACACACCCACACCCAAATTGTGAAAATATCGGCAATACAGAAGATTTAATTAGGCGAGATAAGTGTGAATGAAAACATCACTCACATCCGTTTGGAAGATATGGAAGATTTAATATATTATCTGTCTTATGCATCAATAAGTGATCTGAACTGTTCTACAATGAGCGTAATAGATGGACACATCGGAACAAGCCTTTTATCCTCCTTCGTAGATACTATTGCTGTGTGTTCCAAAATCTTTTGTAGTTGCATTCATAGATCGATAGACTGCGAGTACGTTTTTATGTTATAATCTTGTATCGAGCTGTGTAGTTCGTAGCAAACTACAATCAATATTGCACATCCATGCATGTGCTGAATTCTTCTCTCCTAACTACTAGGGGTTACTCTTCGAGAGAGACCTTTATACCAACAGCATCGCATATCGCTTACAGTGCCGATGCGTTTTCTTGTTGCTGTCCTGAAGAATATTTTAATCAAGAAATACTGAAGATGCAAGTTCAACAATATCAGCGAACCTATATTTTATGATCCTCAAACAACCACTAGTCAAATGCAAACAAACTTATAGTATTCAGATCTAATTTTCGAATAGATTCGTCGTTGTTTATTCAAAAAATTGAATTTATTCTCGATTATATTTCAAAATAGTACAACAATTATCAAAGATATTTATAGTTAGCATTATTATCTTGTTCGCTTTTTTTTTAGTTTAGATTTCTATTAAAAATTATCTTGTTGCTTCCATATTAATGATTTTTACATGTACAAATAAAGTAGCTGTTGTTGGAGAGTTATGTCTATCAAGTAATCGAATATGTCGATATCCTTTAATGAAAAAGATAATATGGATATGAACATTTCTATTGTTGATCTATTTACCAGCTTGCATCGAAAGAAACGGAATCGAATATTGTCCCAGATCAGTATTATTTTTATCACTATCTTTAACTAAAAATCGTATAAGACATAACTCTGGAATACAAATCGAAAATTGTATTGAATGATTCCAAATTGGATTTAAACCATTGGTTAGTACAGCTGAAGTTTTTTGTTCATTTTGATCTAAATAAATCAAGATTTTAAATTACAAAAATTAAAACAATCTCGTCTTTTCTGTTTCTTTTGTGTACCACAACGAACACCATAAATTTTCACTTTTACAAACGGTGATACCGGTGAAGTATCATGTTGATTTCGTTTTGGTAAATGTTGTGCACTAATCATCTGAATATATCAAGATTAAATAAATAAATGCATCTTTTTTTTCTATAAACAATGTTTTACACAAAGTTCTAATTTGAGTGGTCTTCGCTGAGCAAGAAGATAGGCAGAAAAACAACTATTTGGACTAAATGTAGTATTATCTATTAAGACTGAAACTTTATATCAGATTTTAGATTACTATAAATTTATACTTTCGCGTAATATTGAGGGTTTTAAAATATATCCACATTGATTATTATCTGTAAATTTGCCATGATTCAATGACATTGATACATCACCTGTTTGAAAATTCAATGCGACTAGAATTGAAAATAAAATGATTCAAAATCAATATGAAAAAGAATGAAATCTATTCTTACCCATGTGTACACCTGTATTCCATAATGAAATTGCTTCAATATTACTTGAATCTTGCCGGTATGCCGATGGATAAACACGTGTAATTAAATGTTGATTATTTAGAATAAGATCAAGAGCATGATGATCAACTAAAGCTAATGCCTTATTTTCTGATAATGACGACGATTGAGTATGTTTATCTAAGATTAAAATAATAAATTCATGAGAGAAAAAGAAAACAAATTATTATCATTAACTAACATTTTTTAGCAACTGTAAATCCTTTGAATGTTGCATTCTGACAAGCAATAAGAATAGATAAATCTTTACAAACAACCTATATAGAACAAAGATTGACATCAATAGAACAAGAGAAAAATACTACACACAGAAACATCCGGATCAAAAGATTCATCTTCATTGCTACAATCGAAGGATATACTATCCTTTGGTGTAATTCGTCCCTAAAAAAAATAAAATCGGTTAACGAATGATTTTTCAAGTTCCAATAAAAATCGACTTACTCGAATAATGATACGTCCTTTCAATTGTTCAGGTGACGGCCACACCGAAAATGCATTCGCTTCTTCAGCTGTATATATTGATGCTAAAATAAAAATTCAATCGTAGCCAAATGAATACAACGCCAATCGATTCGTAAATCTTACAGCCGAACTCATCAAGTAATAATTTAGCCACGAGATATTGTTGTTTATTTGAACAATGATTTTCAAGATTGAGAAACAATGGATATCTAAATGAATGAATGATACAACAACAAAAGGGAAATTCTTTAATTATCTAAAACATAACATACGGTGAAGCATAAAATGCAAACTGTTTTATTTGAGTGAGAATTTCTCCTAGGTAAGCATCTTTGATAAATGTATATGCATGTCGAACGACCGGTCGTCCATCGGCTCCATCATAGAGATCCACTAGAATAATAAAATCACGAACAATTATTTCATAGTAACATAAATTCAATTCTACTTACATTCCACTGATCGACAACCTCGTTGCAAAGCTTGAACATACGATTCACCCGTACACTTACCTACCATTTGATTGGCACATAGATATCTGAATAAGAAAAGAAGATATAGTCTAATTCTCTAAAATCTTTCGTACGTATTATGTGATGTATTAATCCAATAGCTAGTCAATGGTTGATTCATATCTTGATAGACTGTATTTCGATGTTCAGGTTTCATTAGTTGATTTTTATCGCTTAATAACATTTCTCGAAGACCTTTCAGTAGTAATAAAATAAAGAACAACGATATTTATTATCAAAACAAAAAACGATGATGAAAATCTTACCATCAACACCCATTTCAATACATTCTTTGCCTTCTGTTGACGGATCAAATTTTTTTATCAGTTCTGTAATTTCAGCCAATGATAATGCTTGCTAGTAATACGAAAAAAAGAAGAACTCCTAATCATAGAAATAAAATATTTCTGCATACTTCTTGTTCATTTAACATAAATTCTTTGACTTCTTCTATAGTCATATAATTATTCGTCATTGAACTCATTGGTATTTGGCCAGGTTGAGGTGAGAATGGTATTGCACGAGGTTTCATCGGACCCAGTCCAGTAAGTGATGCTTCAATAACTGGAGTTAATCTTGAACAAACAATTGATATTGTTGGATTTCCATTACATGTGCAAAGTTCACATGAGCCACTATAACTAAAATTTAAAAAAACATAGACTACGCATATTTTTTTTCGATTCTAATCAACATACGTATGAATAAGATGCATTAATTCTGGTCGATAAGTTAATATTTTATAGAATGTTATAAAATCTTCCACACGAAGTTGTCCACGATATTTAGCTACACGTAAATCAGTTTGCTAAAACGGTTAACTCTAACCAATGTATTTTATGCTATGTTTTGTGTTTTAAAATTTACTTCAAAATATTGTTCAAATTCTTCAGTAGTTAAACGAACATTTAATTTTTCTAATAATCGATGAACTTCACCTTTACATAAAAGACCATTTCGATTACGATCGGCTTCATTGAAAAGACCTTCGAGCCATCTAAATACATATTATTCTTATTTTTTCTATTACCGGCACTCTGGATATGACTACTATACCTATCCGTTATTTTCGTGTAGGGCTTTCCAATACTATCCTGTATTAACATTTCTAAACCAGTAACCCAATTATCACGTGTTTCTGTATCATTGGCAAGTAGATCTAAACTTTTTCGTCCACGACTATGCAAAATTGAAAAAGCCAAATCATCCTATGATATCATTTTAGTAATTGAATGAGATCAATTTTCACTAAAAAAAAGGGGTTACCTGTTGTTCTCGTACTTTACCCGAGCGAAGAACTTTTAACCATGTATCTGTTTTTAAACCAGCTCGAACTTCACAATCTTTCAGAAGATCTATTTAAGAAGAAAAAATAGAAATAACAAAGAAAAAAAGACTGTTAATGTTACATTCATTTGTTGAATTTTGAAATAATTTTTTTGAAACATTATAAATAAGAGACTTGAGTTTCGGACAAATATAGAAGAAACCTTCATTTAATGAGCCATCATCATTAAATTTAACAAAAAGCGTTCCTTCTTGAAGTTTATTCAGTAGAACATTCTTTAAATCGCCCATTGTAGACTAAAAGCGTTTGCTTGCAACTGACGTTTTCTTTTTCTACAATAAGTACGTCAAAATGTTGATTATCAATATTTGCTCTCTCGCTGTTAGTTATAAATCCTAGTTTTTTCCCGTCGGTAGAAGTTACGATGTCAGATTATTTTTTTTACGTAAGTCAACTTTTTTCTGTTCAAATATTGTTTTGCTTTTGTCTACATGGATCATATCTATGTTTGATTGATAGAAATGTTGAAAATATTATACAAAAAAATAAAATAAAAAAGAATTATTACTATTTCTCTGTGATAATTTTTGATGCATTAATGTGAAAGGGAAATGCTTTATTTTGACGTATGAATGAAAATTTTAAGAAAAATATTAGTTTTTCTTCTGAATGTTTGTTGACCTATGCCATTGAATGATAGAAGAGAAATGATTTACGACCTAATATTATTATTAAAAATAAACTTCGCGCCTACTGTAAAAATTTTTTTAATAAAAGTTGTTTTTTTTATTCGCTTCAATATTCTATCTCTTCCTAATATCTGTTTATTCTGACATAAATATATAATATTTTATGGGTACTAGTTCAAGTTCAATTCATCATAAAGAACAATCAAATATCGACGCTCATGAACAGTTTCATTTTCGATTTACAGATTGTTCTTGTAAATGTGATGCTAACAAACGACGCGTCGGCGATATCTATGAACAGAATGATTCACCACAAGCAGCATTTCTTACTGCACTTATAACTCAAATAAGTCGGCCGCAATACGATATTAGTAAGGAGTGTTTTTTCTAGCACAAAAAAAATGAATGTTCATAAACATTATCAGATTGTAATTGCGATTGTGGTGAAGGTGTGAAATTTGGTTTTCTCTTTGGAAATACATCATCGAATACGCAAGAACAAACGATCAATGATCATTCGCAATGATTCATCTGAAAATAGTGTTCATTATCGAAAATAAACTGAATTGTTTGACTTGTCATGTCTAAATTAAAGTATTCGATGAAGAGCATTCAAAAAGAAAAAGAAATACTCGAGTTAGAAAATTAAAATTGAGTAGCTATATCAATTCGGCAATATTCTATTTCTAGATCGGAATCAAATTAGATTTATTAGAGTTATGATCACGTTTGAAAAAACAAAATAAAAATCTGAGATTTTTTGTTTTAATTCAAAATTAATGATCCATCATTTTACAGATGAGAAAACGTTGAATAAATTCATTTTTAGTTATCATTTTCTTCTTCTTCTTCTTCTTCTTCTTCACTATCACTATCTAGATTTGAATCGATGATACTCGATTTCTTTTTAATTTTCATTGTGTGTGAGTAATATTGACTAACAATAAATAATATACGACGTGCTTCATCATCATTATCTGGAATGAATTTAGAAATACTTGAAAATTGATCTGTATACGAGCCAACAACACGTTTCTAAATAGAAACCAAGGATGTCATAATTCTCTACAATGTAGCAACTTACTGGAATAATAGAATCTATGATTAATTTCCAAATTTTTTCGCTACCTATTTCATTTGTTACAATATCTTTTAATTGCATTCGTTTCGGATTAATATTATTTATTGTTATTGGTAATGACTGATTCAATATTTGAAAAGGTTGTAATATAATTCGAGGTAGTTCATCTCCAGGTGTATAGGATAAAATCGAAACAGAACAATGTGGCGCAATATTACCGAATTGCCAACAATCCCATGATGCGCCTGACATTAGAAAAGTAATAATACTGCTGAGAAGATTACCATGCGAAAAAATAACATAATTTTTTGATGACATTTTATGATTTGAGAATGTAGAAAAAAATAAACGTTGAATTTTTTGCCAACGTTTTCGAAAACAGTCAATCGAATGTATTTCTCTCCAACATTTAAAACGTTTATAGATAATGGCAGATGATTGTTCAAGTCTTTGTATTTTTTCAAGACGATTGCCTGTGATTAAACCAGTTTGATAAGCTCGCTTATAACTCGAATGAATTAGATCGGTAAAAATAATACGAGATGATCTATCCGAAGAATTTTCTATTGAACGTGCAAGTGCATCGATGGTTTCAGCTGCTACATACGCCTATTAGATTTAATACCGAGTTCGAATTATTTAATAACAGGCAATAGAAAAACAAAAAACGGCTACCTGCTTTCTACCTAGTTCAATAAGGCCATCATCTCGACGACCTGTCGATAAATAGATACCATGTCGAATAAGAAAAAAATAGTGAGGGTCCGATCGGACAGATAATGATAATGATGTTGTCGGTGATTCGACGTGTCTTGATGAGGCTTTGCTTAACAGTTTGTATTTTTATTCGAATAGTACAAATTCACACATAAATATGAATAGATAATTTTATAGATAGAAATTGAATGAAAAAAGTATGCTCATAGTTACATCACTTTAATTAAATGAATGCAGTGCTGCTTTGATTTCAGAAAGGTTTCAAAAATATTTTCTGAAGTCTTTTATTTTGTCAAGCAAGTGTGACGATAGATCGAGTAGTATTTGTTTTGCAATGGCCATTTTTTACAGTATGGGATTTTACAGAACGGATGTTAACTGACTGAATCCTTTTTCCGTTATATTCATCTACATTCTCTCTTTTCCAAAAAAATGATCCAGCTAGACGAGCAACGAAAAGGCAACTTGACAGTATAGTATGTTGCTCATGTAAATAAGAGCCGAAAAACATTTCATCGAAGTTGCACCTATTATATGCATACGCATAAGAAAAGTATACTCATATCTAACGATTAATCAAAGCAAAAGGCGGCTGTATTGAAATAAAGTGATTTTTTCAACAGATCTTGTCTGTAAAATTTCCATAACATCAACAATGATTAATTGTTTTCACTCGTCATGAAATTATCAGATGGTAGAATAGAATGATTACTATCCTACAAAACAGATAAATTGGATGAAGTATCGTATTAATCGAAGTTTTGTCAGTGTTGTGCACTTCTCTACGTTCTGTTTTGTTTTCTCTCTTTTAATCCTCTAAATCCGAGAGTTCTTTAAAAATTCTAACAGACGTGAAAAGAACAATTGTATTCATTACTGAAAATCGAATGTAAAGCTTAATAATCTCTATTTGACCAGAAATCGACATACGTATATATGTATATACAGAGAACATGGAAACACCCAAAAGAAAAACAACAAAAATAAATACAGTTGTATACAAAAGTGAAATATTTAATCAAGTACAATAATCTCCGATGATTGTTGCTTGGCTTTTTTGCTGGTCGAATATTCAGTATTGATTGTCGTTGGTCTTTTATTAGTGACCGATTTCGGCACCGGTGAAACATTATTTGTCAATCGTTGTTTATACAAACTATAGATAATTTCATTATTAATTACATTTTGTTTTCGCCTTGGTATCAATGTTTCTACTTGAGAATCATTTCTCACAGTCGATGATTCTTGAGAGTTCCTATAAATTTCTGATTCACGGTATCGTGTTGGTGTTTTTTTCATTGGCAATGCAGCTGTTGATAGGATTGTTAGTGCACGATCATTGAGTGAGATTTCAACTACTGCTTCATTTGAATTTGACTCAGATGCATCATGAATTGTTGGTTCGAGTGCTAGAAGAAAGAAAAATGTATTGTTTCTTAATTTAAAAGCAATCTTAAATCCTTTATTTTACATAATGGTGCAACTATATCAACAACATCATATTGTACTTCATGTACTTCCGCAATAGTGATGGTTTCTTCTTCTTGTTCACTTACAGATTCTTCTTCAGTAGATTTGACATTTGCTTCCACCTCTGAGTTAGGTTCAATTTGAGAAAATTCTTCAAAAATCTTTGTTAAAAAAAAAACTAAATATTTCTCGAACTTCTAAATTTATATTCAATTTACTTTCTCAGTTTTAATCAAAGCTTCGCGATGATTTTCTGATAGAACTTTTTCAATTTCAACATTATGTAAAGCTGGATCATCTTGTTCGATACTAAAACAAAAATATTTTTAATACATCTTAATATAACAGATTATCAAAAACAAAAAGGATGTTCGCTGTCTGAAAATGAACTTTTGATATAAGATTCATACTTGAAATCTGCCGGAAGACGACTGTACATAATATCGTTAAAATCTGCCATTCGTCGATCTTTTATTTTTCTTCCAATAATTTTAAAAGATTTTTCAGCAAATTTGTTACAAGCTTCTTCACTAGAATTCAATCATATACATAATTAGTCATTGAAAACAAAATGAGATATGATTTACTCAAGATTAAGTTTATGTTTATCATTGACTTTTTCTACTGTATCAAGTATATCACTAAACGAAGGGAAATGTTTAGCTTGATTCACCATTTCTTCTAGGTTTTTATTGATTAATGGATGACCAATTTCAGATTCTTAAATACATGACAATTTGAAAAATGAAATAATCTGCATGAAAGAAAGCGTACCACTGAGAACGATCGGCTGATGAATAATTCTTTCAATAGTAGGTGTTTGACTTTTAAGTTTAGCAATTTTACTATGAATCTAAATAGTTTATATTATCAGAAACACATTTTTGTAAAGAAATTTTTCTTAAAATTTACTTCACATGCTTGCTTTTTTAAATTGGATTCCACGACATATAAATCACAGTGAGCCATTTCATCAAGTGACATATCTTTTTCTTCTAATTCACGTATTATTCTTGATAAACGACTTAATCTTCGTTCTAGTTTGATTACTTTTCTTTTATTCTTTCTGTCGCTGTTTAAAGGCGTAGAAGTTGTTACTTTGTTGTCGAAAAAATGTGTTCTTGATTTGATGGATACCGATACAATTGTACAACATTGATCGACAAGATGATCGATTGTTTCTTGAACTTCTGCTATTGATGTTTCATATTCAATAGTTGATTTTGGTGGACTGACAGGAGATGCTTCGGTAATATTGTCATTAGCATCGATAGGTTTTATAGAAGTTACTGTGGACGATGCATCAATCGAGACTGTAGTTGACGATGAATGCGGCCTAAGAGAAAACCGATTCATCAATAAATACATATAGCGGAATCAGAATGGTAATAAGAAATACATATTACACTCATTGGAGCTTTTTCTCATAGAAAATAGATATATTGAAGAGTAGTAATATCCATCCACAATAGTTCAGTTTGAAAAAGAAAAACTAGTCAACTGTAAAAGCTATCGATGCTTGCTGGAGAAGAAATTGTAGATACAGGGGTCGCCGCAACCTATGTCTCAAAATCAAGAATTCAGACAGGCCACAAATTCCCAGGTCGAACATTCCGGCCCCGGAAACGGCCGGTTCTGTGGTATTCCGAAAATTTCATGGAAGCAGTATTCCGGTGAAAGCATCCGGTTCCGGTCGAAATTGACAGTAACCTGTTAAAACTGGTAGCCGGATTCCTGCATCGAATTCCGGACAATTCCCGGTGGGTTCCGATCGGAAACAGCGAGTTTCTTGCAGGTTTTCGCCGGAAATTCACGGAATACTGCTTCAGGAATCGTTGTCCTGGATATGTTCATCACTACTCACATCAGTAATAAAAATTTAGTTTCACTAATCAGAAATCATGATAATTAGGATTTAATATCTAATTCATCATCAAAATCTGTCGTTTTTATTATTAATCCATAGTTACGACAGTATCGTATATTTTTATTATTATAGCTCATAGTTACGACAGTATTATATATTTTGATTATTACAGACGTTAGCAACGAGTGTATGTTACCGCTACAGAACCTAGCAACTAGTTTATACTACTATTACACTCGTTACTTCTACCACGTACAATAAACAGATGAAGATTTTAATTTTTTTTTCTCACACAAATACCATAATCTAGACCTTGAATCCACTTTAGCGTATTTACAATTCGCAACTTTTCCATCCACTGGGAAGCTTTTATCAAATTTGCGTTTATGAAAAAAATGTATCAATTTCTCACCTGATAATACGAAAAAATATAAATTTTCTCAATAATATTGATAGCTATATCCTAAATACTGTTTAAATTATTATCATTCACAATATTTCTCAATGAAACCACTAAACATTTCAGCATACTGACATATTCTAAAGAAAAAGTTTTTTATACGTTCTCTCTAGTAATATTTCCTATTGATAGATTCAATAAACTTCAAATGTTAAAATGGTTTTATTATCTTATTTTTGAACAAAATATGATCTCACTATTCTGAAAAAATAAAACTTCTATTTGATCAGTATCTAACTGATTGAACTATGTGAGTTCCACATGTTAGCCCCAACGGGGCTGCGTTGAAAAGCTTTTTCGTAAAACTTATCAAATAATTACATCTATATAAGCCTTGAAATATTGATCATAACAAAAGAAAATGTGAAAGTCATTTATATCTAGACCTATTGGTAAAAAAATCATAAAATATCAGGACATCAAAAAGAAATCAGGAAATTAGTACTGCTGCGAGGTCTGCAGATAGTGTTAATCGTAAAATGAACTACGTCAAATGGTGATTCATGTCTTGATTGAATCTCAATGTGAGCTTCAAGTAAGCACAGAATACTTCGTTGCGCAAAGAGGATAAACTGAAACAGGAGCTGATTAATATACACAACAATATAAAAAACACAGAAATCATTTCATGAGCAATTAAATATCTGTTGAAATGATATTCATCAAGAGATTCCAGAAAACGTTATAGTAACAAGCTTCTTTTCTGGTTCTAACAATTCAAAAAGAAATTAATTCATATATGTATTCTAACAAAGTGATCGATATTCCAAAGAAAATATTACTATCATAATGATTTTTACCTGGATGATTTAATAGAATTTTTTTTCAATTGTTCATCGAATGAAGCTAATTCTGTATAATATTTTGCTGATTTCTTATTGTCAACAAATAGATTGTGCATATGATTAAGCAATGATATAAATTCATTTGAACATAGATAACCTGATCTTGTCGTATTAAAACGTCGTCGAAGTTTATTTTGAATAATATTTATTTCATTTTCTGATGTTAAAACATTACGAAATACAGATAAAAACTATACAAACAAAAACAAGAATTTTAAAGAATTTCTATTAAAATTTTCATTAACCTTTTCAAATTGAATTTTAACTTCATCAAAACTATTTGCTTTCATCTAGAACAAAAAACAAATTTCAAGAATCATTTTATTTTTTTCAATTATCTTCATCCATAGCGTTATTTTCATTTTCATCCTCTTTATCACTTTCAATGCCGTAATCATCAATTTTTTCAATAAATTTCTCAACTGTTTCATCGGGAAATTCTTGTTGAGCACGAAAACCAAGTTTAACTGTCTGTGTTGGCGTGTCACCGGTAAAATCTTTTGCTTGCTCAAATATAAGATAACCTTCTTTAACAAAATCCGTTTTAATTAATTTCTGTACATCACCAAATATCTTATGTTGATTGATACTTAAACGTGTTGATTCATCATTACGAATAGAAAATGTTTCACCGAGTATACCCCAAAAGTCGACTGATGCCATTTCACCACCAGCTCGTTTTAAACAAGTAACAATAATCATTAATAATGCATATTTAGAATATTGATTGGAATTTGCTAATGGTCGATGTTCAAGTGGACCTTTTGTCAATGCGTTCACCACTACATAACCTTAAATGTAAAATTTCAAAATAGAGGCAATGCTCGTTTCAGTTTTAATTGACATTTTACCATCATGTTTTTCATCAAATACAAGTTTGTAACCAAATGTATCATTTAAAATTCTTACAACATGTTTATGTACACTTGGAAAATATTTTCTACCATCATAAGCCATTGGACGAAGTACTGTATTGATCCATTCAAGTCGCTTAATAACTTGCAATTTTGAGCTATGTACTAATATGTATTGAATTGATGCACAAACCATTTGACGAATGTTTGCATCATCTTCGAGAATATGATTATCGTCATCATCATGATCATCTGAACTACCGTTATGAATTGATATTTGAGATTGCGTTGCAGCTTGCGAACTTTTTTTAGCTGGCATCGTGACCAATTTCGTACTGAATATTTCTTTTTTTCACGTTTTCATTAATTAAGTATGATTCGTTGTTTTACGAGGGAATCTATTTGCTTGTGCGTTTCATTGGTAGAAGTTTCCGATAGATGGTGTTAGTGTACCAATGAATTGTGGTATGCATTTGACAGTATCAATAATCACAATAACAGAACAGAAGTATACTATAATGATACATTGCATTAGAACGCAATTCATATTCTAGAAAAACGATTTAATTAGTTAGCTAATGGAAGATGTCAATATCAACAAGAATAGTATTTGATTGTTGTTTGCTTCTTTTTACCGTCGTCTATCCAAGCTATCTAAAGATATATCTATCAGTGACGATACGATTGTTGTTGTCATTTGGATAAACTAACTGAATTATGAATAAATAACAGAGCCATTGAGTTATAAGCATTTTTTATTATTCTATTACAGTTAGTTATATGAAACAATCACCTAATTCAGTTAATATGATCAATGAACCATTCTGTTCTGGTGCGTTAGACGATTAGACAATATACTGAATTCATGTAATCGAAACACTAAACTGCTGTGCTTATCGGATTTTAATTCGTAATATTGCTAAGTTTTCATACTAACCAAATATATTATCGAGGTTGGGCAAGAAAATTTTTACTTCTTTAAATCCATTATACGGCTATTGAACTTCTACAGGTTTCTAGGAATAATATGAAGAAATAGAAAACCTCTTTCTACCAATATATTTTGGTATCGAGTTTCAAACTCAGTTTTCCTGGTGTTCATTAGATTGCAAGATGATTTTGTGTTAGAAAGTTGCAACCTTTAAACGCTGATGAACTATCTGTAGTAAGCATATTGTATCGATTCAAGAGCTCTTCAACAAATTAACAGTGTTTTCTCTTGAATGCATTCACTACGGTTACCCTTGCTCAAAACAAACACAACATCTATTCATTCGAAAAAGAAAAATTTCATTCGTTATTCTTTTTTTATTTGACAAGTATGGATTAATTTTTTGCACACGAAAAATCCAATTTAATTAGCACTCTTATCTAATTAAAAAGAATAAAAGTCTCTTATAACGACATCTATTGAACATCTATGATTGATGAGTGCCTAACAGCCAATTAACCCAAGTTGTTTATTTGTTCTTTCTAATGATTCATATTTCATGACGACTTAAAGCTTCTTTTAACTAGTTTTATTTTTTGAAATCAAGGTTTTTTTTAAAATGTTGAATCGTTTTAGAACGTTCTCCATTATTATTGATTGAATAGATCATGGTCGAATTACATGAAATCGAAATGAAAGAAGTTGATGCACCATCAGGATCAAATACAGCAAACACACCAACGGCATCAAAAGATGAAAAAAAAGATTCTAATACATTAACATTAGATGGTTATTTTTTTTTGAAATAAATTTCACAAAGAAAAAATCAATTGTCTTTTTTTGAAATAGATATTAAAGAACAAGTTCGTACAATTGAAAAAGCCGTCAATTCAAAAGAACCTCGATTTATTCTTCGCGTATTACGTGCACTTGCAACAACACGAAAACGTCTTAATGAAGATGTTGTTCGTCGACTCGTTTGTTTCTATTATGGTTCTAATACATCAGAACGAGAAATTCTCCTAGGATTTATTCAACCAGTTTCGCAGGTTTATTTCGATTCATAACATAGAATACAGCCATGAAAGCGTCTTTTTTCTTTTCTAGTCGATGGATGTTGATACAGGAAAAACCAATACACCTGTAACAACGAATGAAAAACAATTGATTTCTCGGCCGCAAACATCAAGAGCACGTGCAGTTGCATTACCCGAAGTTGATTTATATATTCATCTGATTGTACTTCTTCATTTAATCGATCGAAATTCATTAAAATCTGTATGAAGATTTTATTAATATTTAATTCTTTTCCAAAACAAAGCAAAACTCTGTTTTCTTTTTCTCAAGGCTCTCGATTGTGCTAAACGACTTGTTGACAAAACAAGTGTGCTCAATCGTCGAACACTTGATCTACTTGCAGCGAAATGTTATTTCTATTATGCCCGCATATTTGAATTGAATAATATGCTTGATACAATTCGACCGTAATATTGAATATTGAAATCAGCAATTGAAATAAGAAAAAGAAAATTCTTTTATTTAGATTTTTACATAGTCGATTGCGCACAGCAACATTACGCAATGATTTCGAAGGAACAGCTGTATTAATCAATTTATTATTGAGAAATTATCTTCATTATAATCTATACAGTCAAGCACAGAAACTTGTATTGAAATCGGTTTTTCCCGATCATGCATCGAACAATGAATGGGCGAGATATCTTTATTATCTTGGTAAAAACAGATAAGACAAAATCGAAAACAACATTTCTAGTTTCTTCTTTTAGGTCGTATTCGTGCCATGCAGTTAGAATATACAAAAGCACATCAAAATTTGTTAACAGCTATACGAAAAGCTCCTCAACAAACAGCCGTTGGTTTTCGACAAAATGTAAATAATTGATGTTTTTGAAAATGATTTCTTTAAAAAAAATTGTCTTTCGTAGGCTCATAAATTTCTTATTACGGTTGAACTACTCCTTGGAGATATACCAGACAAAGCAACATTTAAAAATCCTCAACTGAAACGTTCATTAGATCCCTACTATCAATTAACATTAGGTATGAAGACAGACGATTCGTTCGGTGAAAATAATTTCTGTATTTTTAGCTGTCCGTGCGGGTGATTTAAGTCGATTTAAGGAAGTTCTTGATGCATTCTCTGACCGTTTTCAACAAGAAAAAACTTGGTCACTTATTATTCGGTATGTTGAAATTTAATTTAACTTTAGATAAACAATAATTTCGATTGTTTCAGATTACGACATAATGTTATCAAAGCTGGCATTAAAATGATTAGTTTATCCTATACAAAAATATCTTTTAGCGATGTTGCTCAAAAATTGCAACTTGATTCACCAGAAGATGCTGAATATATCGTAGCTAAAGTAAGTTAAAGCATTTTCTTCAAAGATGAATTGTTACATGTGAAAGACGTATCTACAGGGCAAAAATCTGTAGAAGATTAGCGTTGATTTCTGGGAATCATCAATTTCGAGCAAAAAATCAATTTCGAGCAAAAAACAATCTGTATCAAGCAGGATTTTTTTTCTGTAATACTCTATTATTGCTTAGTCTCAATGATATCTGGTCTTAATACATTTCTTATGTTGTCCTATGAAAAGTATTCTAGATCAGCTCATGATCTTAGATATTTACCAGATAATTTTTATATCCGCTCGAACTACAGAAAAACTAGAATCTCCTAAAGAAAACGGTCTAAGCTATATCATTCCAGAATGTAGGTTTATGTTTTCAATTGGCATTCACACGTGCCTAATATTTATTACGAAAAAGAATCGTACGCATTGATCTCTGAACTTTAACTGCAAATTGCTATGGTCTATAAAGAAATGAAGCCACAAAAATTTTCATTCTCGTTTTAGAAATCATGTATTTATATAAGTTATATATTTTTAATTTTTTTCACTATGTAGGCTATTCGTGATGGTGTCATTGAAGCCAGTATAAATCATGAACAAGGTTATGTCCAATCACGTGACATCGTGGATGTTTATACAACACGTGAACCTATGAATGCATTTCATCAACGTATTGAATTTTGCCTTAAAGTTCATAATGAATCAGTTAAAGCTATGCGTTATCCTCCGAAAAAATATCAAGAAGAATTAGAAACAGCTCAGGTGAATATCATCTATTGATTTTTTTCTTTGTTATAAATGAAACATAAAATTTAATTTAATTTATTAATAAAGGAACGACGCGAACGTGAACAAGAAGAATTAGAATATGCAAAAGAAATGGCTGATGATGAGGATGATTTTTAAACTACTCCGTTAAACGGAATAAAAACAAAATAATAAACATTATTTACATTTGTTATCTATATTTTTTTCTTTCTGTTCCTCCTTTCATTATAATAAAATCGAGATCCTCTCTGAATCATTGCATTCTTTTTTTGTTGAATAATATGAAAAACAAAAAAAAATAGGTTTTCTTTTGCTATTATTTCAGATGTTGACTATGCTGAAGACATTCCTTCAGTATATACTTACAAGATGATGTTCTTTCGTCGACATGCTCAAAAATCTACGCCACAACAGAATAGTATAGTTACTTCACCTATCTCAATTAACCTCGAAAAAATAAAAATAACTGAAGACGAACACGAATCAACTGAGAATGAACTGTCCACAACACCTACTGCTCTATCACCGATCGCGAAGACGGTCACTTTTTCTAATGAAATAGATTCAACCATTACCACCAACACCATCACAACAACGACGACGACATCTACAACAGAACATCTATCCTTAAAGCATCCGGGACTTTTACGTTTATTTGATTCAACTGTATGTACGGTATCGATTGTTATAACATATTTGTTTAGTACAAAAGAACCTATGGTACAAGAATTTCTTGGTAGAAAATTATTTGAGTATCCCGATGAGGAACTTGATTTTTATTTGCCACAATTAATCAATATGTATATTCATATTCCGTCAATTTCTTCGGTTATTCATACGTATCTAACAACAAGGTAAATGAAGAATTGTGTGAACTAATGAAACAGTGTTTTTGGAGTGAAAAATTCTAGTCGGCAAAACATAGTTCTACATATTAATAATATTGACTTGAGTATTTGTATGAAATATTGAAAAAAATTATTTCAACAAGTCTTCGGAACTTTTTAGTTACGCTTTACCAATTGAGATGATTTCTTCCTCAGTGAAAACTAAATAATACTTAGTACATTATGTGTCGAACATATAATTTTATGTATTTATTTAGATGCTGTCAAAGTGTAGATTTTTCTCTACAATGTGCATGGTTACTTGATGCTTATATAGCCGAACAAATGAAAGTAGCAAAAAAGCCCAATTCAGCCGTTCGATTTTTATTTGATATACTATATGAAAAATATAAACCAAAAATATGCTATAAACCAACAACGATCAATAATATAGGCAGTAATCATCATAGACTTGACGAAGAAGAAAATGAGAATGCTACAAATCAAGATGATGACACAAAATCGGAACGTGCATTAAGTCAAGATAATCTTATGGCATCAATGAATAGAAAAAGAGGCCATCAAAAATCTAGAAGTGATGTTTCAGGTATAATAACTTTCATAAAAAGAAAAAACATTTTCTTCATACTATTCAATCAAATATGATATATAGGAATCATACTTTCTCGTTATAGTAAGTTGTTTGAGATTTGTAAAAAAAAAAGACTAACAAACGAGTGTGATTTCTATTAACTAAAATCTTATGAATATATTTTCAATTTAATGAATTTTTTATTTTCAAGAACGTTCATTACCAATGATGAATGGTGAACCAAGTAAACATCGTCGTCAACCAAGACTTTGTCTAGGCGATCTGAGTTCGGGTCGTGCTTTCGACAATAATTGCTGGTGCTTTGAAAGTGTCAACGGCTTTCGACGACGAGAATGTACATGCAATGTAAGTCTCCTATTTTTCCTCAGAATATATCAAACTTTCGACAGAAAACAAAAATCTAAAGACAATAATTTACAAGTATCAGTGAGCATTTTTTTTGATGTTCACTATATCGTTCAAACGCTACACCAGAAATCGAACCAGATATCAATATGAAGAATTTTCGAATGCTTGTCTTATATAGATAGTATTGATTTTTCTATTCTTTAATTTTAACATGAATAGGCTCCAAAATTAGCTCCAGTTCGAGAATTTATGACAGCCTTGATTAATATTGGTAAAAAGCTACCGCATGTACCAACAAAAGACAAAAAAAGTAAATGGTTCTAGACTTGAAAAGAAAATTTAATCAATGTCTTATATTTATTTTAGCACAAAATTTAATTAGTGAAATGAAACGAATGAACATGAATTTACCAGCTAGAGTTTGGATTCCATTCTATAGATTTCCGCATCATGTTGTTCGCATAGCATTTACTGAATCAACTGTGTTGAATTCCCGAGATCGCGTAAGTATCCAACAAATATATCAATTCAGGATTGTTGATGACACGAGGAGAGACTGAAACGTCTTTCGATACGTTCTTAGTCTTTTCGAAAAATAAAAACTAATCGATCTTTGTATTTAATAGGCGCCTTACATTGTGTATATCGAAATTGTTCTCTGTGACAACGTATTTGCATCCCCATTACCAATCAAACAAAATGATTCAAAACTACGCTCAACACGATCCGAAGAAAACCTTATCGAACATATAAACAATCATCAATCGCCTTCAGTCAATGGAGTCATTGGAAGTTATCTCAATTGTGAAACTCAAAGTCTTGATTCAGAATTAATCGATCCCGATCGATCGTTTACTAACAGTGAAGATGCTGATATATGGTCAACAAGTGATGAAGTTACTGCTGATGATCAACAACAATCACAAACACAATCAGCATCGAGACGTAACGGTTTAATAGGTTATCGGTCCAATCATACGTTGAATATTAATCCTGAAACACAATCTATACGTTCAACTGAAAGTCATTTGAGTCAACAAGAAATTATGCCATCTGACATTCGCAAACGTTTAACCGAAGTGCAAACTACTGGTCCGATTTTATTCGATGTAAGAAAAAAAACAATTTATCGTTTGTAACTTTTTGAACATTTCTTTTCAATTCAATAGCGTGATCCTGATGATCCATCGGCAGCGACATTAAAAGAACCGTGGGATAAAAAAGAACAAAGAATTCGACAAGCATCACCTTACGGTCATTTGAGAAATTGGAGATTAGTTGCAGCTATTGTTAAATGTGGTGATGATCTTCGTCATGAATTACTTGCATATCAATTTATGGTTCGATTGAAAGAAATTTGGTCCATTGAACATGTTCCAGTATTCGTACGTCCAATTAATATTCTTGTTTTATCCAATAATAGTGGTAAACGAAATAAATACAGTGTTTTTGTTCTAAAATTTAATATAAATTTCATTTTTTCAGGTCTAATTGAGCCAATTTTAAATGCAGTATCTCTTCATCAAATTAAAAAAAATTCGAGATTATCATTAAGAAATTATTTCCTACGTGAATTTGGCACTGAACGAAGTGAAGAATTTCTAACAGCAGTGAGAAATTTTGTGCAAAGTTGTGCTGCCTATTCAATCATCTGTTATTTGTTACAAGTTAAAGATCGGTAAGAAATAAACTTTAGCCGATAATAAACTGAACAATCTGAGTACTAGTCAAGCCAAAAGTGGTATCGTTCGGATCAACTTCGGTCACAACCGATACTTTCTCTTAAAAAACCGATTCTGTGATATATGAAATGGCATTAAACTCTAGCTCGTTGTGCACACTAGTAGAAATTTCATGACATGTTCTAAATTCTTTTGGTACCTAATAATGCTTTTCTTAAAATAGAAAGAACGTACACTTCAATGGCTTTTTACAAAATAGTTTAATAATCTTAGATTTATTAATATATCGTTTTTGATTTTTAGACACAATGGAAATATTTTATTGGATGATGAAGGTCATCTTATTCATATTGACTTTGGTTATATGCTATCAGCAACACCGAAAAATCTCGGTTTCGAAAGTTCACCATTTAAAATAACGCAAGAATTTGTTGATATTATGGGTGGATTACAAAGTGATATGTATGGTTATTATAAAATTCTTATCCTTCGCGCCCTAATAGCTGCTAGAAAACATATGGATAAATTAATGTCTATTGTTGAAATTATGCAGCATGGTAAATAAAAAGGATGCACATACAACTCATAGTTTATCTTTATTCTATTTCATTTAGGGTCACAATTGAATTGCTTTTCAAAAGGAAATGTAACGTTAGGCTTACGTGAAAGATTCCATTTAAATATGACAGATGAACAATTAGAATTCAACGTTGAAAAAATGGTCGAAAGTAGCCTTAATTCATTGACAACAAGAGTTTATGATACATTTCAATATTACACAAACGGTATAAGTAAATGACAAAATGAGATATATATATATATAAATAAATATTTATTTATTTTTTGCACCCATACTAAGTATCAAAAGAAACACCCGGGCTGCTTTCTTTTTTTTTTATTGTTATATCCATGTTGTTGTTATTGATTTTTTCTTCTTCAACTTTTGTGTATTCTCGTTGTTCTTTTCTCTATCTTTTATCGGTTTGTACAGCGAGAATTCATTTTTCAAATACGGTTTTCTCTTTTCTTAACTATCATATGAATGTTCCACTATATTTATGATGATGTTAACTCAATTGGTTAAAGTGTGCGCGTGTGTGGGATAGAGAAAAAGTATATCTAGCAAATTCCTTCTTCATTATTTCGATTCTTTTTGTGGCTTATCCATTATTCGTGGAGTACACTATGGACTTTTTTCGCTTTCTTTTTTTTTCTACAACAAAAAAACGCTAATAAAATTACGCCCACACTAAGATTCTATTTTAAAAATCGTACAAAATATTCGCAGCCCGTCGACATGAATTTTTAGTCTTGGTGGCTATCCTGAAATATGAATGTCTATGGTTTTCGAGAACCAAATGATGCGAAAATGATTATTGTTTTGTCGATTGAAGATTTTACATCAATAAAAATCGTTGTAAGGTACCAATATAGCTGAATCGAATTCGAGTATGATAGAACGAGCAACAATATTAATATAAACCAATTTCTACATCTTGAATTGACTTTACACGAGAGTAGCATAGCAATTAGTTACATATAAACAGTTTTCATTTTTATTAATGGTCTACAGAAATGAATAAAAAAAACAATTGCTCACTCCATTCAAAAGAAAATATACACACATGCTAAATGATGTGGTTTACATTAAAACTAAGCTGCAATCCTTGCTAGTTGATATCGATATTGTTCATTTTCGTATTCCATCGAACGTCGATAAAAAAACCATTCCTAAGAAAAATTAGAAATATGAATGTCAATTGTAACCAATAAATACTACTCACCGTCAAGTCGATATAGAATTCAGAATCATCAATATCCAATTGCGTTACAATTTGTCGAATTTCCATCGGACTGGCGTATTTATTCATTCTATAACCTAGTTAGGAACATTCGATATTGAAAAATCTCAAACTATACATTTATACTTACGTTGACGTACATATTGAAGCTGTTCATTGGTTAGTTTCTGCTCTATTTCTGCATTTCCTAAAAAACTACAGCTTGTTAATAATCGAATTTCAGAAACCTTGTATCAATGTATAATCTCTTGGTTTTGAACAATTGAACCAAATGATAAATAATCTTTTTTTTCGTTTACATATAACTTACTTGCAGTATATTCAGCAAGGAATTGTGGGCCAGGACCGAAATAAGCCATAATAAAGTTCACTGATGGCAATTATGTAGAAGGTATACAGAAAGCTAATGATTTATTTCTGATCACTGTAAATCACGACGCAATTTATATGCATGTGTATAGAAGTGCGCACAATGGCGAGGAAAAAGAATATATGTCGAGCGTTGTTTCACATAGATTAATTAGACGAGCATGAAATATGAATATCTGATTGGCAGCGAAATGTGTCGGTTAATTGGAGAAAGAGAGAAAGCAATTATTAGTTTTAGGCGATTATCATATTACGATGAATTATCTAATCGTCTAAATTTTATTAGTTCTATCAAATTCGAATTGACCTAATAGCGAGCAAGAACAATTGAGGTACTTCGCATTTGTTATAATCTTGTCACTTGATTAACACATCACTGAAGGCAGTTATTAAAAATTTTCAAGAATGAAAGTAACAACATTGAAGAAAGTGGGTGTGGTGAAATATGAGAACCAAAGCTAACACTAACACGCAATCCCCACCATTGATCGCTGATTTGATTTACTTCAATTATTTTTTTCCTCGTGATGGTACTATCAATTTACGAGTATAATGCTATTTCGGATTTTATATGTAAATGTGCCTAAAAGAGCTGCACATTCTTTTGTTGATTAAATCGAAGCTGTGCTTTGATAGCAAAAACAAATCACTGTGTGTGTCTTGATTATAAGAGAGAGAGAGAGAGAGAGAAAGAAAACATAAAGCACGTATTCATGAGTATTTATGTCTTTCCACTATCAAGCATAATAATTTTTGGAAATGAATGCGTCGGCCAAAATCGCAAGTTGATCTTCAGTGAACTTCCCTCGATGTTCATGCCATGAATCATGATGTGTATGATCAAATTCAGAAAAACATTTCTTTCTCTACGCCCAAAAAAGGAAGACATTATGTATGTTCACAGAGAAGCATTAATGCATCTATTACATAAATTGAAGTATCATATGAGCTCGCGAGAACAATTGCACCGAGGCCTAAAACACATGCAATTATAATAGAAATAGTTTTATTAGCAACATTAGCCAAACATTTGTGTTTGAACATTCTTCGTAACAAGAATATTCGATGGTTGGAACTTCACCCTTCGCTAGGAAGCCTAATCGAAGTTTTTTTTTCACAGATTTATTTAGTGTTCCCCTGTTTTGGCAACAAAAGAATTCAATATTTGACTGAGCTGACGTTACTCCATTGTCTCGTTCGAATGATGCAAACCAACAGTGTCACTAACTGATTATATATACATTCGATATGTTCAACAATCAATAATTCGAAGGAAAAAGTTCTTTGTTATGAAGTTAGTTACTTGAAAATGCATTTAGAAATTGAACTGCAAACATTTTTATAGGCACAATTAACTTTTAAATCTAACTTTTATCCTCGACATACATAATACAGTAGCGAGATGTCTGAACATAATCCTTATTTGAGATTCAGGCGCGTTTAGAATAGGAAAAATACTTTCGTACATAAAAGAGAGCACGTGGCTATTCGATCCAAAATTAACGAAGAGAAGAAGATAAAGAAAAGAAGAGAGAGAAATATAATCGCAATAACAAATACAGTAAAAGACATCAATGAGAGAGAATGAATCATTAGGTTGCATTAAGAATAAACGAAAACTCGACCAAATTTGATCCTCTTCTCATTTTTACCCACATCCTGATTGAACGGTAAATTATTTTTCAACTAATTTCGCATGAGTATATCGAGAAATATTTGCTCTTTCTGGCAAAGTAAAAGCTGCTTTTCTGTAAATCACATATCTCCTCTTATGAATGAAATCTATAGAGTAGGTATCAGAGCATCAACCAGGCCACTAGGCCTGCCTGCCTGCCTGGGCCTGCCAGCCTGTGACAGGCACAGGCCATGATCTTGAGGCCTGGCCTGTCACAGGCAGGCCCGGCCGAACCCTCGCCCAGGCAGGCAGGCGGCTTAAAAACACCAGGCCGCCTGGCCTGTCTCTATCCTTTTTATATATAATTTTATTTTCGATATAAACGTTTTTTTTAATTGAAGTTGGCGCGAATAATCATATGAAGTATAGAATAATGTATTGTGTTCATTGTGATTGATCCAAATGATGAATAATGTTCAGTTCAAATTGCATAGTTCGTTTCCTTTCTCCATTCGCTCTTTGTGTTTTCATTTATCTGTCTTTTTTAATATTACTGATTATTGTTAAAACCTTTCTTATTGATTATTATATAGATCTTTTTTTATCGATTCTTAAAATCTTTACTATCGATTATCATCAAGTTTCTTATTGATTAATAGAACCCTAATTCACTCTCCCCCGACGACTCCCCCGGGGATTTCTCTGGGGAAAATTAATAAAATTTTTTAAAATAAAAAAAAATTTTTAAGTTTTTTAAATTTAAAAAAATTAAGAAGAATTTATTAGTAATTAGAAATTTCATCCATTTTGACCAGATAACTCCCCGGGGAGTCCCCGCAAAAGAACGAAATCCCTAGGGACTCCCTGGCGATTCATTTAGGGAGAGTTGACTAGGGAATTCGTTCATTGATTGTGGTCAAAAATTCGTTCTTTATTATTATTATTTAGATCTTTCTTATTGATTATTGCTAAAAATTGTATTATCGATTATCATCAAGATCTTTCTTATCGATTGTTAAAACCTTTACTTTTTTCTTAATGTTATGCGATGCTGTCTCTGATGTATTCTTTTTTGTATGAAAACTTCGATAAGTAAATGCTTCATCTAGTCATATTAAATTAATTAAACTGGTTTTCTTCATTCTCAACATTAATTACATGTTTCTATTCTATCCTCGTAATGATATTAGCATTAAAAAAAATTGACAGGCCTTGTCAGGCAGGCCAGGCAGGCCGTAGAGAATGACAGGCAGGCAGGCCAGGCCGACCAAATTAGTTGACAGGCACAGGCAGGCTTGAAATGCAAAGGCCTGTCACGGACCGGCCAGGCCTACAAAAACACGGCCTGGTTGATGCTCTGGTAGGTATTCTCCAGTGCAGAATTAAGATATCAAATTCTATATGGTCAATTCATTACAATAACAAATAGGGTTCTCATGCGCTTTCGATATTATCACTTACTATGGAAGTAAGTTGATAAAATTTACTAAGCACATCTCGATGAATATCAATTTGATAGAGGTATCCAAATTTAGGTGTCGGTGAGAAATAAATAGTCAGATAGAAACCCACATCGGTACCCTATTTTGATGGCTATCATATGAGATAAACAGTGGAGTTCATCAAATTTCATAATCGTTTTCAGATAGCGGATATATAAGAATGTTATGCAGTCTAGCATAGTTTCACAAAGTCGTATCATCTGCATTTACTACAAATACGAGAGTTCCCGTCGCTTCTGTGTACGGCAATCAAACACTTGTATATCGATTTCTGCTGAGTCTTAGAGGATTCTAGCAAGTTCTTAAGCAGTCACAATAGGTAGACACGGATGTGGATCACAAAGTTGCAGACATGGACGTGTGATTACTTTTATCATTTGATCCAGCTTCGAGATTAGCTGATGATGGAAGCATCAATGATTGGTAGAACCGTTTTCCATATATATATGAAGTGCTTAAAGTTCAAATTTTGATCAAATTTTTTTTTTTGTTCTGTTTTTATCATGATAATTACATAGAGTTCATCGAGTTTTCCAAGAAAAAATATGCAACCAATGGAAATACAAGGTTTTCGAAAAGTTAGAATCTTTAGTATAGAATGTTCCTTTGTACTTGTAAATAGTGCTGCCCAGAACGTTTGTCTTAAAATGTTCATCTTGTACTTAGACACGTACCTTTTCTTGTGCAACTCAAGAAATTCTCACTCGCACAATGAGAATAAATGAAGAAAACAGCTCTGATCTAACTTTGAATTGCACGAACCTTGAGTATTTGATAAGCAACTTGAAATTTGAATACACGAGTCTGTGCACTGCAAGGGTAGTCTAGGTTTTTAATTTGACATCGATACGCCGAATTTTATTAAGTAATACTACACTTTGAGTGATATGTGAGAATTGAAATGTTAACGTCGGTCATGTAGATGGTTGTTCCATAGCGTGTGGGTGTTCATGTGACTATGATTCTCGACTTTAATTACATTAGTACTCACATCACAAACTGGGCCACACGTCAAACTGATTTTTATGACTCGAACATTGATGATTGAAATATTTAGTGTTTGAAAAAGGTACTAATGATTTCAGTCTCTTGTGTTACTAAATGATTCCCAATAAATAAGCATATTTTCAAGTGTCTAATCTTATTGCTAACTCGATTATCTTTGTTTTTCTACATGAGTTAATACCATTGATGCTATCGTTTGCTAATTACATTTTCTAGTGATGATAATATTTTAGCTTTATTTGAAACTGCTTAGAATTGCTACTTTAACAATCATCACTGCTCACAACGTCAATATCATTTTTTTCGTCCCCATCTTCTGACAATGGTCTATTCGATATATTTTGCATTTGTCGACGAGCCCCTTTTTTATCTTTCATTCGACGATTTTGAAACCTAAAATATATAATTTTATAAAATACAACCAATAGAAATGATTCTTATTTTAGTACATACCATGTTTTAACCTAGAGATTAAAAAATTCATGTCATTATTTTTAATCATGAGAAAATTTAAATATTCATTACCTGTGCTTCTGATAAATTAAGCGAATTAGCCAAGTCATAACGATCTGGTGTACTTAGATACTTTTGATTCTCAAACCGTTTTTCAAGTTCATTTAATTGTTGATCCGTAAATACGGTCCGAGCTTTTCGACGACGGCAATGCTTTAATAATTGTACATTATTGAAATAAGTATGCAAATTCATGCCTACATAATTGAAAAAATATGTTTATACCTGAGAAAACAGAACGTGCCTACAACGACTAGTTTATTTGTTTTTATTTCGATGAAATAATTAATTTACGAGTAGATCAGTAATCACACACAGAACAAGACGAAAAAGAAATAAATAGATGATAAAACTATTGAGCCGATTAGAAAAGATTCTCACTAGTCAATTCTTTAATGATATTTTAAACATCTAAAAAGTCTGACGAGAAACAGCTACATACCAGGAAAGATAAATGGATTTAGTTCAACTTTATTCGATGTAAGTTGGCTAATTGATTGAAATAAATTAAGTGATACTGATGGTGGAATAGAAGTTGACTGTTTCACTGGTAAATTTGGTTGTTTAAAAGCCGCAAGAAGGTCATTTATACGAAAACTACTCTTCCTTGTTGTATTCATCTTCTGCTATTTTGTTTTGTTTGTTTGTTTGTATTATAATCAAGTGAACAAAATATTCATAGTAGATTGCAAACAATCGAAGTAGAAAGCGAGATAAAATCCCATTGGTAACAGGAATAGTGGCAAGAGAATATAGTGCTTATTGAACAGTCTCGTGCTAATTTTACAATTGTATTCATTAGAGAGAACGGAGAAGAAGAGGAAGAAGAAAACAAATAGAATTTTAGCTCGTATTTGAAGATTTAATACAGACGTTGACATATATTTATTTCTCTCTTTTCTAATTAGTACCAAGGGTGTTTGAATAGCATGCAATGTTTTTCGACAGAGAAATAATTGAATCAAATCAATCGTGAGTGTAAAAGACATAAGGACACGGTAATAGAATAGGATAGACACCTTCGGAAATGAATAGAGATACTATATTAAAGCTTTGTCTTCAACGTAATTCTATTCTAACATAAAAGTATGTATATCGAGCATTTCTCTAATAAGATCCATCGAGAACAGGTACGAATATTCAAGGAAAAATTTCCCGGTCATGATGCTCTGACAACTAAGTTACAAAAACCCTCCTTCGTTCATTCTTGAATTCGTATGTATGGTTTTATTTCAAATAATTAAAAATTTTATTATAATGGCAAGATTTAATCACCAATCGATATTTTTTTTAAATCAATCGATTTTGTTTTTCTAATAACTACAGATAATTATCTTCTAGAAAGCATGTAATGTTTTGTTAATATACACAAAAAGAGGTAAAAAAAAAACAGTAACAACACAATCAATGATGTACGAAGATTAAAAAGAATGCTCCGTCATCATATCTATCTACATTATTCGCACATTTGTAAATTTATAATTAAGAAGAAACCCGCTATCAAACTAATTATTGAAAATTGAAACAAGAAAAACATTCTACGAATATTTAATTTCATTTATGTTTGTATAGCTTTTGCCTCAAGATTGGCTAATTCTTCTTGGGTCATTTCATGTTGTTTACTCAAATCAGACATTTGTTGAACTAAACGAAGACGTTCATGAAGAATTTTTTCTAACAATGTTTCATTCTAAAAGATAAACAACACGATAATTATTGAATTTTTGTCATTGAATCTATTTATGTTCAATATGAAAGTGTGCATTTTCATTAACGTACAATTGAGGAGGATGGTACCGTAGTTGATCCTACACCTAATCCATCGATTTCATTTCGAGATCGGTTAACCAACGAGTTTCGATTTGCAAGACCTAATTCAAACATATCATATGATGGTGGTATCTCGATTGGACTAATCATTGACGAACGTGATTCTTGGTCGATATTTTTATGTTGCTGAGCTTGTTTTGAAATTTCATGAACATTTATTTCGCTAGCAGACATGGATGATGTTGGCCGTGGTGGCTTTCTTGATGCGTCTGACGCTTCAAAATAGGCTGAATGTCGATTCATAATAGAACTATTTGCATATTGCTGATATAAGTCGGCATCGATGGGTGTACCTTGAAGAAATAATAAATGATACTAAAAATCACAATCGAAGAATTTGAACCCTTAGTATTCAATTGAAATATCAGAAAAAAAGTCTCATTGATGCATCGCACGCGTAAAATAGTAAAACTTGTCTGAACTCTATAGAACATCTTCGACTAATAGATCATTAATAATATTCTCGTTTTTAGTGATTGTTTTTTTATTTCTAGAAAAAATTTCTGATAAGCAGCTGTCTAGTTCTATTGTGAGAAATGTGACCTCACCATTGCTCATTCGTCGAGTCAATTTAAGTATTTCATTCATTGTATGATTTGTGTCGGATTTTTCCTCCTTGTTTGGCCAATTTTGACGCGATTCAACTCCTTCGAAATCTGTTTGATCTCGAAAATTCTTTTTTAAAGAAAATTTATCTTGACATTTTTTATTTGCTGCAATTTCAGTATTAATAAGTTGACATATAGTTTGCATCATTGTTTGTAATGTTATCATTTGATTTTCAATTTTTTTTTGAAAATCCAATTGATTCTTAATAACAACTGAAAGTTGGTCTTTAAGATGATTCACTTCTTGACTTCTTTTAGAATTTGGAACACACTTAAACATACAGAAAAAAAATATATTAATTCAAGTGAAAACGCCAAGTGATTCATTTACTTGTTTTACATGACCTGTCAGCGTAATAAGTGCTGTGGCGAGTGCTGTACTACATGTATGTGATGATTGAACGTTTGCGTTCGATTTAAAACCTGTCCTTAATTCTAAATCATTCAATTCTAATGAAAGGCGATCAAGTAACTAGTAGAAATTTCAAATAGAATTTAAAGCACGTTTTCATTGTAGGAAAATCTACTTTTTTTAATTTGTCTGCTGATGGATTCACATGCGATTCAGTACCATTAGATTTTCCTTCATTTTTCGATCGATCCGACANCAAACCTTCGTCAGATTGATTCGAATCAATAATATCTGATGGATGCATATTTCTTGTTGGTAGAACCCTGAAAAAAATTCCCAAAAAACAAAACAAAACATGAATTAATCCCTGGTATAAATTCGTCGCTTCATCGCTACTCTAACTGGGGGAAAATCAGCGAAAAAAATGACCAAACATTTTCGATTTGATCTTCAGTCATAGTATTACATACAAGTAAATCCAAAGCGTTTGGAATAAAGGTTATGTCATAAATTACCTCTATGATAAAAAATTCAGCGAGATCGAGCTTCGATCAAGTCAGCTTTTCGAATTGTTTTGTGTTGCTTATATTAAAACAGACATTGTTGGTAAAGCGGTATTTTGTAAATAACCACTCGGACAATAAAAGAAGGATTTACACAAGCTGTTTTTTCAATCATGCACAAAAATTGGATAGGAGATTTTGCCTCTCGTAGTGTCATATCTGCAAATGGGACGGACAGTCACTAGTAATATTTCGAGACGCAGCACACGCTCCATTTCAAGCTGCATTGAAACTTTCCTACAGAGGAATGTTGGAGTCTTCACTTTCAGACAAAGTACGTTTCACAGCTGGAGAAAACCAAGGGGGAAAAAACTGATTTCTTGATTTCTTTGATGTCTCCTGATTTCTAGTTATTTCTGATGATTTCCGTCGCAGGAACTCAGCTTTATATGTAAAAGTCGCATTGTCGAAAGCCGTTGAAAATGTTTAGAGATTAATGAAGTCGATGAGAAATCGATGCAATTTAAGGATAGTCACCCAATTTGGGGATCCTCATAGAAAAATCAGAAAAATCCTCAGAAATCACTAGAAATCAGTATGTTCTTTTTTTACTGTATATTTCGAGAATTTTTGTAATATGAAATGATTTTTAGTGATCTTTAGTGATTTCTACATATGATGGAGAATATGACTTTGCGGCAAAATCGAATTCATTAAAATCATCTCTATTTGTNGAGCTATTAAAGGATTGGGTACAAGTGAAGAAGCGCTAATTGAAATCTTAGCTAGTCGATCAAACAAACGTCTACGAGATATTAATAATTTATATCCTAAACGTAAAAACATTTTTTCTAAAAAAAAAAGATTTATAATTTGATTTCATATTTATTTTTGCGGTTACATCATGTTGATTAAAAAGTATTTCACGTAACATATCTAATTGATTGTTAATTTTTTGAGTATCGTTTCTGGATAGTACATTTTTTTGTTTTTCTTTTTGAATCAATTGATAGCATAGTCTTCGGCGATTCTCGAAAAAACATACGAAAAAGAAATGAACATTTTTTTATCTATTCAATAATTACAGCTTCGTCGTCGCTAGTTCGATCACCAATCGATGACTAGAAGAATTAAGATTATGCAATAGAAAATAAAATAAAAAGATTAATAATCTTACATCTCGTTCAATAACTTTTTTTAAAGCTGCTCTCCGTTGTACAGTTCCTCTTGACATATTTCAAAAATGAACATACATACAATTTGAACTATTAAAGAGATTGGATCATTTTCAAATCTATTCCTATGGCGACCGACACATTTCAATGTGCGTCATCTATATATATATATATATATATAGAAGATGTGGTAAACTGCTTAGCAACAATAAATCATTTGTAAATTTAACTTATTAATATGTTGAAAGGAGGATCATTACCTTCACCGATTATTACTCCGTTATCATCAAGCCCACTTTCATCGAAAAATAAAATTCACACGCAAACTTTTGTTGAAATTCGATCAGGTTTTATTTTTGAATTCTTTTAAATGATACTATATTATGTATTTTGTTTTGTTGTTTTGAATATATTTAGATATTCCAAATGTAAGAATTTATTTTACTGTTGACGGTACAAAACCAGACCCATTTCAAACATTTCGAACTGGCTCTATTTCGACATATCTTTACCGTGGAGCATTTCGTCTTGGATCAGGACGACGTGTAGTAAAAGCAATTGCTGTTACGCAGTAAATTTTGTTCATTATTTATTTATGTTTTCGAATAAATTTTTCTTCGATAGAAATGGATTACGTGAAAGTAATATAATTACGAAATTTCTTGATGTAAACGATAAATATTCGGAAAATTATGATGATAGTCCTAATGAATATTCGGATAATGATCAAAGTTTAGCAGTAAGTTTTTTTTGTATTTTAGAATTTAACAAAGAAAAAGAAACGGTTCAATATCGATGATTTAGGATCAATATCAATCAAATCAGTGTAAAAATGATCTGGACCGATCTAAATGGGAGGACGATTTTCATCTCCAAAGTAATATTGAAGGTCCAATTTGGCCTGTGAATTATGCTGGTACGCAAATTGATCATTCGTGCACACCCGAACAGGATTGGATCGAACCGAATCGGAATTCTCAGTATGACTATATGAGAGAACAGATGGTTGAAGTAAATTTGTATTTCATACGAAGTTTTGTTCTGCATGATTTTGAAATTTAGCGTTTACCGCCACCGCCTCCACCGCCAGTACTACCACCGCCAAATCGTATTATAGACGTAACCTATGAAGAAGAAAATTTTTGGGATCGAAAAATAAAACCATTGAGTCCTGGAAATGGAAATTGGAAAAAAACACTTGACCATATTTTCTTAAATGTTTATAATTATGTCAAAGATGAACGAGAACTACGTGAAATTTTTGGTTGGAAAACCTTTGGACGAGTATTTATCTAATTCAGATTGTTTTCGTAGTATAATTCTTGTTTTCATAGATTGAAACAATTCGTCTTATAGACAAAGGTAGTACTTATCAAGTATTAGCAACCTTTAAAAAACCTCTTGGTGAACAAACGCCCTATGAAGAACCGCCACTACTACTACCAGTGCCTAATAGAAAACGTTCTTCCAAGCATCGATCTAAAAAACGAACACGAACACCACCTGGTGTCGAAGACGAAAGGCCTAGTCGACATAATCATTCCTTAAAACTACAGGATACCGATGAAGAAAGATCAACACGACATAATCGTTCATTAAGACAACCGGACATTGATGAAGAAAAATCGATTCGATCTAATCATTCATTTAGGCCGCCCATTCGTCACGAAGAATCTATTCGTGAAGAAGAACGACAAACACCAAGAATATATACTGAAGAAATAGTGGTAAAAAACGATGTAAATTAATTTTTTTGCTTGTTTATTTTACTTTTATTTAAATAGCAACAGGGAACGCTTATTCCATATCCTCATTTTAATGTTCAACAAGGTAAATTAACCAAGATAAACTTCATCGCATACGAATTGATTCTCTTTGATTTGTATACAGATTGTGAAAATCTTCGTAAATCAATGAAAGGTCTTGGAACAGATGAAGACATGCTTATACACATACTCGGCAATCGTAGTCATGATCAACGTGTAAACATTCGCGATACATACAAAAGCATGTTTGGAAAAGTATGAAATTAAAGAATACTTTTTTCATCGATCAAATTATTTATTTAGGATTTAGAGAGAGATGTAAAAGGAGATACATCAGGAAATTTTTGTAAACTTTTAAGAAGTCTTCTCTATGCTCCAGTTGAATATGATTGTCATGAATTATATCGAGCTATTAAAGGATTGGGTACAAGTGAAGAAGCGCTAATTGAAATCTTAGCTAGTCGATCAAACAAACGTCTACGAGATATTAATAATTTATATCCTAAACGTAAAAACATTTTTTCTTGAAAGGACTTAATTGGTATTTTACTTTATTTTTTCTCTTAGTGTTTAAGCAGTCGCTTGAAGAAAATATTGTAAATGATACAAGTGGCTATTTTAAAAAGTTGTTAGTTGCACTCGTACAAGGTCAACGTCCAGAATCGAATCGAATCAATGAACAGGAAGTTAACAAAGACGCTAAAGAATTATATGACTCTGGTGAAAATAAATGGGGAACTGATGAATCGAAATTTATTCAAATTCTTTGCAATCGAAGGTTCATAAGTCTAATTCAATTGATTTTCGTTTTGTTTCTATACTCTTTTTTCATTAGTGATGTACAATTAAAAGCTATTTTCGAAGCTTATCATCAATTTAGTAAGAGAGACATTGAAGCAGACATTAAATCTGAAACAAGCGGAAGTTTACGTAATGGTTTGCTAGCAATAGGTAAGTTTGTGGAGAATTTTTACAAAAGAAAATCAACTTTTGACTACAACAAAACCTTGCAGTGCTAGTCTAGTCGGGCGATGGGCTCAAATTGTTCTTTTCCATTGAGTTTATCATTGGACTGAGCTATATGGACTTCAATAATAGAGTTGAATCATGCAATGATGATGATAATGAAAGATATTGAAGAAATAGTTTGTTCGATATTTTAGAAAATATCCAAATACATTTTCATCATTGTAAAAGACACTTGGAAAACTTTTTATGCTCTGCATAGTTAAAATTGTAGAATTTTCCATTGGTTTCTTTTCTTTTTCAGTTGGTGTTATGCGCAATCGACCAGGTTTCTTTGTATCTCAATTGAAAAAAGCACTTAAGGTATGTTTAATATCATTATTTGACAATATTTCTCAGATATGATAGAAAATACATATATTCTAAGTAAAACAAAAAATAGGATTCATGGAGACTTTGTTACCGCGAGACAATGAACATGCATATTATATTATTTATCTTGCAATTAATATCTCATTATTTTAGGGTGCGGGTACGAATGAAGATGAATTAAATCGTGTAATTATATCTCGTTGTGAAGTTGATATGATTCAAATAAAAGAAGAATATGAAAATACAATGAAACGCTCGCTAGAAGATCATGTTCAGGTTTTTTAAAATCTATTCTGAAAGGTAGATTTAGAATATATTATCGATATTGTTTAGAGTGATACAAGTGGAGATTATCGAAAAGTTCTTCTTGAACTATTAAAATCTCCAAATCAGAGAACTCAAAAACCTGGAAAGAGTAAAATAAATTTCACCTTATTTTGTTTTTAATTATCAGCATGTTGCTTTCAGAAAAATATGAAGATGAAAATTTATCTGATTATGAACAACCTGAAATTTATGAAGAAGAGATTGTTGTAAGTATTTGTCGGAAAATATATATTTGTATATTTACTTGATTTGTCTTTTTCTAGCAACAAGGAACAATGACAGCAGCAAAAAATTTCGATGCCATTCGTGACGCTGATGCATTACGGAAAGCAATGAAAGGAGCTGGTACCGATGAGAAAACGATCATAAGTATTTTGGGTAATCGTGATACAAGCCAACGATTAGAAATAAAAGCTGCATTCAAAAATAAACATAACCGTGTAAGTAATCGGATTGGTGACTGTTGTTTCTTTTTTCTACGACTAATTCGAATTAAATTTCGTAGGATTTAGTTGCGGATTTGAAGTCTGAAACGTCGGGAAATTTCTCTAAACTCCTTGAAAAATTATTGTTAGACCCAGTTGAACTTGATTGTTCAGAATTAAAACAAGTTGTGAAAGGTGTTGGCACCGATGAAGAAGCAATGATTGAAATTTTAGCAAGCCGCAGTAATAAAAGAATAAGATCAATTAATGAAACATATAGTAAAAGTAAGTGACGAATAACTGTAGAACAGCAAATCTATCAAGATATGTCGGATGCATTCTCTAGAAGTGTTTAGCAATTTTTGGGACGAGCATATGTAATTGAGTTCATTTTATAATAAGCCTATCCAAAAAATAAAATTCAAGGACTGAAATATGACGCAGTATTTAGGCTTTTTTGTTTGAGAGACTTATCTAGAATTTACTCAACTTGACATACTCGTTCACACATCAAACAGCTATTCTAGAGGACATCTCTAGCATATCCACGGATGATGATGAAATACAGAATCATCGGTATTCCTTCCTTATCCCTAATGGCAGGCTTTTCATCTCTGATTCATTTAAAATGTGATAGACTCTTAAAGGTATCTCTCTATCCGAATATCAGTAGCAAATCACTTTTTCCAAACCTTAGATTGAACCAGAAAAATTTGATTCACTATATTTCTTTGCCAAATAGTGTTTGGAAAAACATTAGAAAAAGATGTTAAATCCGATACAAGCGGAGACTTTCGTCGTCTACTAGTATCACTTATGCAAGGACATCGTCCTGAAACAACGAAAGTTAATGCTGATCGAGCTAAACAAGATGCCCAATCATTAATTGATGCCAGTTCTGATAAATTTGGAACAGATAAAGCAAAATTTAATGAATTATTTTGTAACAGAAGTGATTCTGAATTGAAAGCTATATTTAATCAATTTGCTGAACTAACTGGAAAATCGATTGGTAGGAAAAAAATTAACAATTTTCTTTTTCAAAATTCATTTGATTATTAATCAAATATTTCTAGAGGAAATTGTTAAAAAAGAAACAAGCGGTGACATTCAAAAAGGTATTTTAGCTATTATACGGTGCATACGAAGTCGTCCACATTTTTTTGCGGAACAATTACAGAAAGCTATGAAAGTAGGAGAATTCATGTAGTTTAGATTAATAAATTAATTCTTTTTATTTGCAATAATATATAGGGTTTTGGTACCAAAGAAGCAACGTTGAATCGAATAATAATAACACGTTCAGAAATTGATCTTGTTCAAATTAAAGTCGCATATAAACATCTATACAATTGTGAATTAGAACGTGATATTAGTGCAGATACAAGTGGAGATTATAAAAAATTACTTTTAGAAATATTCAAAGATCCGTCGCAACGTAATTAATTATATAAAACATTTAAAAAATGATCTATCATTGCTTTTAATGTATCTATTTTTGCTGTAATTTGAATTACATGAAAATTATTTGTTTGAAGTTCTTCTGAGAAGAAGTTATATCTTCCATGGAATCCTTATTTTTTAGTTATTTGTCTACTTTGATTTTGTTGTTACAGTAGGAATCTTTGAAAAGATTTCATAGCCTCTTTAAAATCCTTGTTTACAAAAAGCACTAAGCTTCTAGACATAATTTATTGTAAATTAGACTGAACGATTAACAAACACTTTTTAGGCAACAAGTATTTGCTGCATAGCATCATTGACTTCGCTTAAAAATTCTCTTTGTATACTTTGAATAAAATAGATGCATTTGTGGTCGATTGAATAAAGGATTTTTGTTTTAATCAAACTTTTTTGTAATGTTGTAAGAGTTGATTTTTTGACATATCATTGCGATCGTATGTTTAACTGTGTTGAAAAAGATCTGAAGGTTGTTAAACAATGCACATATATAGTATAACTTGAAATAATCAATAGAAGGTAAGTTTCTCTTGTGTAAATGAGAATACTTGTAAGTAAAAATTCTAGCAGTAATTTTCATGGTCCAGTCAGATTTCCTATATATCAAGGTTTTAAAATTATACTATTTGGAAAAGTTGGAAGAGTTCATTTTTAACAATAGCATCTCAAAGAGAAAAAAAGTAAAGTGTCACCGCATCTCTTACGCAAAATATAAATCGAAAAATTCTCTATTGTGATGCGCCTAATTTAGTAAAAGAAAGTTGCAAACAAATAGGCAACCTCTTATTCTATGTAGAATCTTGTACTCATTTAGATAGAACTGTTAACAGTGGAGTGCTGTTCTTATACAGTTGAGAACCACTATGCGGAGCCTTTTAGGAATTTTAATCCGATCGTTAAAGCTTGACATACAATGAATCTACTGCAAAACTTCATCAAATTCTTTAACTCTTATTAGTATTTCAGTTACGGACTCCGAAACATATTTAAAAAAAAACAATAATACTTCGTTCATATAATTTTCTGCAATTATTAAATCATTTTTTCGTGTATCAGAATGCTCGAAAATATATTGACATTGATTGGGTCGAAACATTTACAGTATTCAAAACTCTTGTGGTAAATCTATGTCGAGTTTTTAACTTAGCTGTCCTTTATCATTGAACAGCGGAAGAAACCATAAGATTCTTGGTCTCATTTGCTGAAAATTTATAGTACAGTGAATTTTTTCTCGTCTATTTCTTAAGACAGTCGAACAAGAAGATTCATTTTTCAAATCTGTATGATATTTAAACATGAAAAAGATACGTATGCTGATGCTATTAATAGAATCGTTGTTGTTTGTATCAACCGAGGCACAAGAATGATGATGAATCAGACTATACCGATATTTGTAATGCAGCCATTCAACAATAACACCAATAGCGTTCTTATGTAAAATATTCAATAAGATTGGCACTGTCTGATTTCTTTATATACCATTATATAATTCAAGTTCTTCTAAATTAGCGATTTAGTTTGATGTGTAATGCAGAAACACGATTTGAATTTTGTTTTGAAAGAAGGAAATACTAATTTTTATGAATCTCGGATATCTACTACTCACACGTCTCACATTGCTTTCGAACATACAAAAGACGCTTCCTTTAATTGGCTGCTATTGTGAATAAATATACTTAACTTTAGTACTCAAACATACATAAGATATTTGTTTTAACACATCAGCTGTACTTTGTCAATATGATCAGCATCGTAGAGTGAGATCACTTTCATTTATTTCTATGTACTCTAGTACAAATATTCTTCCTTGTTCAGCTGAGCTAATATATATGATTTGTAACATGAACGACTAAACTGTTGGAAACTGTATATCAAATACTTTGTTTAATACAATGTTTATTCGTTTGATTGTTTCAACTTCAACAGTTATTGATCATTCATTTCAAAATAACAAGCACGATATATGTATAATACGCCGTCAGTATCGAATCGACACTGTCGATTATCAGTCCATTGTTTCCTTTTGTTGTTGTTTTATATAGTCAGATTTTGTATTTAATTCTTCTCTTGTGGCGATAAAAGGAGAAGTAATCAACACAGTTGTATATTTTCATTCCTACATTAAAAGAATCGCCATTCATCGAAGACGGATACTTGGTTCACAATATAGCTTTACATTTATTTTATTGAAATATTCGGTGACCTATGATTATGGAAAGAAAAGAACCGCCGTCTGGAAACGTAAAATTCGAACAGCACGAATTGTTTACAAACGCAATGTCATCATCAGATGAAGGTATCAAACTATTCGAAAAGGATGACAAAAATCAAACTGAAGTAAAAGATTTTGTTTGTCTTTATAAAAATTTCACTTTTACTAAATAGTTATTAACGAACGTTCAAAGAAACAAATACCGTCAAAAAAGAATCCTTATCAATTACAAAGCAAAAACGTTTCGAGGTATTTTTAGTTGAATTGACCTTGAAAGTTACATATCTTTATTTTTTGTTTTTAGATGTATTACATGATTTGAAAATTGTTGAAAAAACAAATAATTTACTTGGTTGCTTCTTGATAATAAAATTGTAAATTTATTAAATTGTTCTCGTATGAAAAATATTACTTTGATTCTTTTAGAAAATCTTCTACTCATGAATAATGTGGCATTGCACGTTTATCCTTAATGGAAAAAATTAACAATGGAGATAACTATCTTAAATCAATTTTGATCATTTTACTTAACTTTTATCTATTTAAATAGATAATACGGTGTAGATTATGAAACTTTATTTTTAAACATTCGCCAAGAAAAAGTTGAAGCATTCATGAACGGTAAGCTTTTATGACGTAGAACATTTATCTGTGTTGATCGTAATTTTTGGTAAATTGATAACAGAACGTAGCTCAACCATGAAATCAAACAAGCGTAAAAGAACATAAAATAAACTGCTAGTTTCAATTTATTTGCATGGCTTTACTGTTGTTGTGTCGTTATGTCATTACATTCGATACTTGTTTTTGCTCTTAATTTGATTATTGCTCAGATTTGCAGTATTCATTTATTATAATCTGAATAAAATTATGCTATGTTGGGTATGCAGAAAAATAACTGTTAGCACTTAATCATCAAATATATATATATATATATATATAATATAATTACTGGCCGTGATGTAAGCGGCCATAAATGAATCCGGGCTCCTCCAATATGTAGAAAGCCAAAATGTTTGAATGAACTCTATGCTTGAAAATTTTAGAAGATGTTTCTATGAGTAGTTTTCTACCAGAAACATTTTCAATGAACAAAAAAGTCCCATTAGAATCATACATGTAAGGTTCAAAGACTTAATCCAACTATTCGAGCAATAGTTGTAACGAATTAACAACTATTGCGCTGATGAAATTGAAAATTAAATTTCAAACCGGATTTTTAAAAAGTAATCTGTGTATTTCAAAGTCAACAGAATTTTCATGCCAACTGTGATAGATAAATAAATAAATATATATACAAAGAAAATAAATCAATGCATTATTTTTACAGAGAAAAAAGAAACCGAAAATTTTTATTATGGAATTATTTAAGAAAATTAAATTAATATAGATACAAATACATTTCATTCAGTCGATTGAAAATTTACTCCAAGTTTTTCTTGTTGTTTCAATTTTTCTTGTGCATCATTTTGCAATGTTTCTAACTGCAATAGAAAAGAAAAACAATAATAGTGAAATATTATTTCAAATAAATAGAATCAAACTTTTTCTAATGTTAACGATTTTAGCGGCATAATTTTTGGTTTTGATACAACATATTTGAGTTGTTCATCGAAATAGAGTAAACCTTGCGTTGGTAAATATTCCTCGATACGTGCTGTTCGATTGTCCGACATCTAGAATACGATGGAATACTCATTTTATCAAAAACAAACAGACTTTTCTATGATATGTATTTATATAATTTTTTTTCTGTAAATTTATTTTCATTTGCGATTGGAAAAAAATAAAAAGGCTAAAAGACCCTAAGAATTTTCACAGGAAAGGAAAATGCATAACTTGGATAAGCCAAGAGCCAACTAAAAAAAAATATAACCATTACAATCATGTGCAAAATTCTAAAATAATCAAGCTTATATTAAAGCATTTGTTTTTCTTTACACATTAAAATAATAATTCAAATTTTCCATTTAAGAATCTTTCTTTCAGCAACAAATTCACCGCGTGGTGATTTTACATGCGGCTCGAGTGTAGCCAAATAAACAGGAGTATCAGCACCTTGCTCTGGTGTGCCTGTACCCTTGTTTGATGTCATGTCAGTATTGATGTAGCCTGGACAACAAGCATTCACAACTATGTCTCTATTTGGTTTTTCATCAAAAATTCGTTGTTGAATAATTGTTACAGCCGTTAAAGCAATTTTACTCATACCATAAGCGGAATTCGGATAACCATCATCTTGATGTGAATCTTGCTTCGCTTTTCTAAAAGGAAAAAGATAGATTTTAAAATTATTATACGAACGCAAGGAACAAAAATAAAAGAAGTTTTGTTTCCTATGACAGTCAAGTGTTTAGTTCCATGGAAAAATTAAAACAAGACGTTTATGGAGACTTGAAGGCCTATGGAAAAGCACAATATTCGCAGTAAAATGATGATGTGTTGAATTTCCGGTGATCTTCTCTTAAATAGATATGCAAATGATACAGAAAAATTCATGACGCTTATAACTTTTTAAGAGAGATTCATAGGAAATATAGTAGGCTATCATGCTATCCGATTAAATAGATGTTTCCTCAAAACTGTCACGTTCGATTTTCCTGATGCTTCCTCTGATAGCTGACTTTATTCAGTATTCAAATTAGTACTTATACTTGATGTGAACGATTTGATGTTCTTGAAAATATTTTAATGAAATAATTTTTAGTTATAAAATAGATTTGGAAAAAGACTGCTGTTTCTTTTACTTTATAAAATCGTTAAGAATATCGGATAGAGATTCAATTGTTGCTGTCGGTGAAATGAAATTGTGACGTATTTCTGGATTTTTTATTGAATCTAGCATTCCAGCTCGACTAGAAATGTTGACAACTCTATAAAAACAAAAAAAGAATATTTAACAATTATTAATGAAAATATGGAAATTCAGAGAAAAAGGCAACAAGACAACGAACCGTGCATGATCTCGTAGAAGCGGAAATAAAGCATTACAAACATTAACTGTACCAAAAAAGTTAGTTTGAGCTGTTATTTCAGCTTGATCACCGAATGGAGTAATGTCATTCGTCTAGAAACACAATATTTTTAATTTAATCAGAAAAAAAACCATTTTTTTTATCCTCAATTACTTTGAAGGCAATCGCTGCATTATTTATCAGAATATCTAATCCACCGTGGTTTCTTTTTATAAATTCAGCAAGATGATGAATACTTTCAACACTTGTTATATCTAATTGATGAAAATTTACTTTTTTGGAAGCGTTAGGATTTGATGATTCAAGTTGTTGAACAGCTTGTAAACCAAGTTGTTCATTGCGTGCTAAAAAAAACAGAAATCATGATGACAAAGAGTTCATAGAAATTAATAAAACTTTATGTTTTACGAAGAATTATATAAGCAAGGTCAAAACAATCACGGAAACCTTAAAAATTTATTTAAAATAAGCATCTGATTTCTAATTGGAATCATTCAAATATCTGCTCAGCTGCATAAAAGGTCAATTGAGTGCGCGCATGTTGCATGAATAAACGGATTACTTATAAACAAAAGAACAAAAAGGTCGATTACTACATTTTACAACTATGTTACAAGGTTGAATTTGAATCTTTTAATATGCTGGATATGCAAGGCAAACCAATTTAAATGATGAATTAAAATCTATCAAAATCATAGATAATACCAGAAAATAAACGATTGATATTATAAATTACTCTAGATTGGCAATACTTATAAGTAAAGCTGGTCGATATACCTACCAGTTAAATAGATAAGACCATCAAACACCGAACAAAGCTTATCGACAATGGCGTAGCCAATCCCTTTATTTCCTCCAGTAACCTATAATTGAAAAGCAAAGTAAATCAAATTACCCGAATTGACGAATAGTTATTCCTACGTACCACAGCTATTTTTGGTGACATTTTATTTTTAATCACTGATTAAAATAACAAAAAAAAAATCTAATTAATCTAAAATCATAGATAAATATATTAATTGTACAGCACCTTCGACTAGAATAAATGAAATACATTAAAATAAAAATGAATATTGCACGTGTAGTATACGCGTATGTTGTCTACCATAATCACAAGATAGGAACAAAATCAAAGTCAAACTTTCGTTCACCATTTATCTTCCTCACAATTTTCATTGAAAAATTTTCCTGATGGTCCATCGTCAGGTAGTGTTGCTAAGAAAACCGTTGATTTTGCTCCAATTTCAACTGAATGACCATGGAAATTAGTCAATTCTGTTGCTGTTAAACCCGGTGTACAAGCATTAACTTTAATATTTGTTTTCTTTAATTCTTGAGCTAATTGATACGTGAACATATTTAATGATGCCTTTGATGCACTGTATGCTAAATGAAAATACGAATTTGCACATGTCTGATGAAAATAAATTGAACTAAGAGCACTTGAAACATTAACAATACGTCCAGATGGCGATTTTCGAAGTAATGGTAAAAATGTTTTTGTTACAGAAAATGCACCAAAAAAATTAACATTCATATTGTCTTGCATGAGATCTAGTGTACATTCGCTTGGATGTGGTTCTTTAACATAGATACCAGCATTATTAATAAGAATATCTAAACGACCATATTTAGTTGTTATTTCGGTGACAGCTGCATCAATTGTTGATTGATTGGTAACATCAATATGAATTAATGACGCACGAAGATTTTCAGAAATAAGTTTTTCAATAGCTTTCCTTCCTCTTTCTTCATCACGAGATCCAAGAAGCACTTGAATGCCCTGTTGAGCCAGTTGACGCGCAACTTCAAAGCCAACGCCTTTATTTGCACCGGTAATTAAAGCAATTTTATCATTATTAATTGATGCCATTGACTAAATGTTTTTTTATGAATCACTATTGTGATTACAAAATCTTAGAAATAGTATTATCGATCGACACTATGGAGTAGTAAAAGAATTAGTAAGTTATATTTATATATATATGTTGTCTTTTAGTCGCTCACTGATTGGTTCAAAGTTGACGAATTAAAACATTATGCTTTTCTTGTTTGTGTTTATTTTTCTTTGTTTTTTCTTTATATTGTCCTGCTCTATGACTGTATATTTGCAGTTTTTTTTTTCTCACGGAAGACTATTGTTTTCTATAACTTGTAGAATTTTCTTCTTTAAATAAAAATAGATTTCTTATAGATAACCAAAACTTGAACTCATGGCTTCGTCAGAACCAGCGCCCATGAACACTGATGAAGCAGATATCCCAAGTAGTTCAACTACGACAGATTCAACAGTGGGACAACGCAAGCGATTCGAAGTTAAAAAATGGAATGCTGTTACATTATGGGCATGGGATATAGTTGTTGATAATTGTGCTATATGTCGCAATCACATTATGGATCTGTGCATTGAATGTCAAGCAAATCAAGCAGCAGCAACAACTGAAGAGTGTACTGTCGCTTGGGGTGTATGCAATCATGTATGTTATTGAGAATTTTATTTCTTATAGAATATTTGTTTTCAATTATTATTAGGCATTTCATTTTCATTGTATTTCACGTTGGCTTAAAACACGTCAAGTATGCCCATTAGATAATCGTGAATGGGAATTTCAAAAATATGGTCGTTAATACGAATGTTAATGGTGCTTACAATTTCGTCTTCATTTTTTTTTGTTAAAAGAAAGATTTTTTTACTTAAACTGAATATAACAAACGATCAAACATATTATTTCATTCTTTAGATATAATAATATAATATCTATTTTTTTAATTATTATTAATATATTGATTAATTCAAACATGTCGTTTGATTCGTCATTAATTATTATAAGTGGTATACAAAGAAATACGTTTTGTGGTAGTAACTGAACGTTTTACTGGCGCTACAGAAATTAATTTAAAAAGAAAAGTCGTATCTACTTGCATATTATGTTCATGATATAGTGAATGTCATACCGACTGGGTCATTATCATTATTTCATTATTTCATTAATAGATAATATTGAAATAGACTATGGAGTTCAATTGATGATGCAAGACACGTTATGATACAGTAGTGTAAACAAAAATTGACAACCTATTATAATGAAACGATCATTTTAATTATTAGTTTTATCTGAAATCTTAATTTTGTCGATGTCTGGTTTATGGGCAATTGAATTTCTATATTGGGTATTTCGTTAAACGTAGATATAAGCATGACTTTGCAATTATTCCTTAGAGAAAAAAAGAATAATCAAACAAAGATTAGCTGTGAGGTATCGAGAAAGGCGACGATTTCTTTGTGTTAACCCCAGATGTGAAACATGACCTACGTCATTTTGATACTATTGCTTACTAAGAAAAACATTGTATACTAAAATAAAAATATTACTCACTGTTTGGGTGAACAGAATACTACTGATGTGAAAGTACGACACACGAAGTCGACGTTAAGGATGTTTCTGTATGACTTCAGTGTTTTTTTAATTGCGGCGAGTGCGTTTAATGAAGTGCTGTTGGAGAGAGTATGTTATGGGTGTATGCATCACGCGAGCATCTGCCTGGGGGACAACTCATGGAGCAGTCTATTTGCCATTAAATATTATCTTAATGTTGATTGACGAATAGCATTATCATTAATAGCAAGAATCATCTTTCCATTTTCTTTCTTCTTTCTTTCAGTTTTCCTTTCTCCTCATTCCTATTCTTCAATGTAGTATACCATTGAGTTTCTCTATTCTACTGCGCGTATTAGGCAAACAAATATCTCTACAGCAGCGTCTGTCGCTAACTATCTTAATCATGCTTTTGTTGTTAGAAACAAAATGAAAAACTGATACATTTGTCTATGTTGCTGTCAAGCAACTGATTTGTTTTCTTCGTTCTGTTTTGCATTATTATTTCGGTTGATATCGAACACAATTAATGCAGACGTTAGCATCAACATAATCTCTTTTTTCAGATCTGATGATTATTATCACATAACATGTGTGAACAAACAAAACGCTATTTTTCCCCGCGTCTTGTTGATTATGTGATTGTAGTTGGTTGTCGTCATCCGAACAAATATAATCATGTAACGCAAACACCTGAATTACTTCGTCGTTATCCTTTAGAAGATCATAAGGATTTTGCATTACCGCCTGATGTTATATTTTTCTGTCAACCTGAAGGTTGCATCAATACAGGCCATCAACGAACAGCTTTTCGGCAATTAACGTCATTTGTATTCACATTAACCGAAAAAGATTCTAATCGTCAACGTTTTGGTATATGCGTAAATTTTTATCGCCATTTTTCTCGTCGCGCATGTTCAGTTCACAATCACAGTCAGCAAAAAACGAACCAACCTGATTCATCCGACGATACAACACAAACGCAATCGACTAATGAACAAACAAGTACTACTGATGGAGCCGAGAATAATAATGAGCGTAAACGTAAACGATGTTTAAGAAATAATACATTAACATCTATTTGTCTTATAAGTCATCATCCATTTTTTACACGTTTTCGTGAATGTCTCGTTACATTAAAAACAATAATTGATGCTTGTGATGAACGATCAAGTGCGAAACGTACGGGAGCATCAAAAGGAATTTCTAGGTTAGAATATAAAATCAACAACATTGTTTTCCATGTATACGAATTCCTTGTTTGTTTTGTTTTATAGAGAAACTGTTTGGGGTGTATTAACAGGTCAAGCATGTGAATGTACGTCTAATTTAGTTGGCCATGAAGTACGAGAAATTGAAACATGGATATTACGTTTATTGAGTGCACCAGTTTCTATACCAGGAAAAACAAAAATATTGGTAAAATAAAATGATTTTGTGCTTTAAATCTCTTGATTTAATCTAGATTGAAACGTTACCTAATGAACCACCAATGTTATTTGCTTTACCTGATCATACGCGATTTTCACTTGTGGATTTTCCATTGCATCTGCCACTTGAATTACTTGGTGTAGATTTATGTATACGAGTGTTAACATTAATCATGTTAGAAAATAAGGTAATATCAGGAAGTTCATCGTATTTAAAGAAAACTAGAAGCTAGTCGTTAAGCGAAGTAATCAAACTCGCATGCAAAATTGAGTTCATTATTTCTTCATTGATCGCTATGAATGTCATTCGACTAAATTAGATTTCATTTAAGCCCTCATATAAGCGATTTAAAACCCGGTAATATCTACTATTAACTAATTTCATAGCATGATGTCTTTTGACACGATTTTCAAGATGCTAGACAGTTGACAATATTCAATTGAAGTTCATTTGTACTCAAGACATATTAATCAAAAGTACTAAAAGTTTCCTTCTTTTGACAGATTAACTAGACTTATTATCAAAACACTTGATATAATTGCAGCCAGCATAGAATCATGCTTAAGTTCAGTTCTGATAGATTATGTTGAAAAGTTGAATTCATTTTTCTCCGTAAAATTAGGTCGTATTTCAATCTCGTGATTATAATGCATTAACGATGAGTGTTTTGGCATTTGTTGCGTTACTTTATCCACTTGAATACATGTTTCCTGTTATACCATTATTGCCAACATGTATGACTGGCGCCGAACAAGTTAGTAGAACTAGACCCACAGCTGATTTCATTGAAGCATTCTTTTTTTCAATTGCACTTTTAGCTCTTACTCATTCCAACACCGTTTATAATTGGTGTACCAGCAAGTTTTTTTCCTTACAAAGGAATGGTAATAAAAAAACTTGATGATATATGGATTGTTGATCTTGATGCCAATCAGGTTTGTATATATATCTGTATTTCAATCGGTATAATATTCGTCTTTTAAATTCATCTTAGATAATACAACCACGACAAACAGAGCCATTTTTTGACATTCCAGAATTTGAATATAACATTTTAAGTAACCATTTAAAACAAGCACTAAGTAGCATGTCAATAGATCCTGAACCAATTCAAAGTTTTGATGCTATGCTCAATGATAAGTCATATTTACTGTCAGTAAACAATTCTAACCCATTACCATCAACAGCATACAATCCATTTATCTATGGCAACGATGTCGATTCCGTTGATATTGCTACACGTGTAGCAATGGTTCGATTTTTTATGTCGCCAAATATACTTGGAAATTTTAATGAACATACACGTACATTAAGATTACATCCACGAGCTGTTGTTGCTTTTCAATACAGTAGTTTTATTCGGTCACGACCGGTTAAATCGGCATTTATTATTCGTTTAGCAAAAACACAAGTAAAGAAAAAGCTCGAGGAAAAAGTTTCGTCATATGCTTTGCATTTTTGTCATTTTAGGCTGTCGAGTTTTTTGCTGAATGGTCACTTTGCCCAGAAAATGTGGCATTTTTACGTGTACAAACAGGTGTTTTTGATCCAGCACTTATTGGTGATAAGCCCAAATGGTATAGTCGAAATTTAACATCAATACCATTCAAAATCATCGAAGAACATAGTACACTCAGTCAAGCAGTGACTTCGTTTAATGCAAATCTAAATAATATTGAACATTCAGCCACAGGTATGAACATTTTGTTTATGCATTCAATACTTATATTCGCATTATTTTCCCATTAATTAAGATGAAAGCGGAAGTGATTCGGAAGAAGATGGTACAAATGCAGATTATTCATCATTAAGTGAATTTGTATCAGAAATGATTAATAGTGATATATGTGGAGAAATCCGAAGTAAAAACCTAGGAAAATAGTTGTGGTTTTAATAGGAGAAGAAAAACTTTCTTTTTAGTTGCTAGAATCTATCCAGAAAATCAAGAAAAAACGGCTTGTGTGGAATATTCAACGATTTATCATCCACCAGAAGAATTAGAAATTCCCGATAATGGCTCAAATAAAAATGCAAGTGGAAATGAGTCAAGTCAATCAATGAGTGAATCAACAATAAGTTCAAGTTCGAATTCACTTGTCAGTTCAAGACATAACTCACCAAGTGAGGATACAAATAACTTAATACCTGATCTATCAGGTTCCGTTCATGATATCGATTCGAAATCAAGTTCAGCAACAATTACGCCAATAACAAAAAGCTTTCCAAAGTAAAGACAAAATTATTTTTAGGCGTTCAAAATCGAATATTTTATTTAGGCCCCTTTTTGATTCAAAAGTATTTATCGATGAAGAAAATACAGAACAAGCGTCACCTCCAGAAACCCGTGCAAAGAATATATTAACGCAAGGAACTTCTAGTCAACGTGCTCGCCCGAGAGTGCCACGTACAGATAGTCATGATTCAGCAACAAGTGCATTATCAAATAAAAGTGGAAAATCGCATAAAGTAAATATATCATAGATTTCTTTCTATAATACAGAAAACGTTCGTCAAAGATACTCTTCCTTTTTTTTTGCAAATGAATCCCAGTTTATAGGAACATTCTACATAATCTGATTTCTGTTTACTTTCGAATTGTTTAGTGAATAATGAGCAGTTGTTCTTGTCACCTATCTACTGTATTTGCGGAGTTATATTTTGATTGGTAATGTCTTATCCGATTATTTACTTCAAATCATAGAACATTGAGATTTTGTTTCTTGTCATGCCAGTTATGTTTGACAGTTCGTTCTGCATATCTCGAATCGTGAATCAATGCTGTCAACGGTGACAGCCGTTTTTCTAAACGATATTGCCCATGCGCATGCATTTGTATGGAACATCAATGTTGCGCTCTAAGACTCGTTGATTTTTATCGATAGATAATATTAGTGCTATTTTGGTGCAATCGCAGCAATGAAACTCAAAAAATGCTTTCAAAAATGATAAATAACCCTGCCCCCCCCCCCCACAATAAAAGATATCGGGTCTTCTATTAAGATATCGGGGCTTCTATTATGTTCCAGCGTAAAAGTTTTCCACGGGGGTCTTGCATTAAGAACCGCATTTTTCCTAATATTTAATTAGAAAGGTTTTCCAGAAAACTAAGGTGATTTTCAGGGTTTTAAGGGTGTCATTAGAATTGTGAACACATTCTCTTAATATTTCCAGCTTAAAATGCTAAGAATTAGGCATATTTTGATGAAAAAACGCTAATTAAAATTCGTAATTAGCAAAAAATTAAGTAATTAAGGGGAGGTCTTCCATTATGTCGGACAAACTTTTTCTTCAGGGGGGTCTTCTATAATGGGCGGGGGGGAGGGTTACTTCAAACAATGGATATTGAGTTTTTATTTTCTGATAATCTTTTACTTGGTCTTGTTCAGTTCATTGACTTCAATAAAAACAAATGCAAAAGTAGATCTTTAAATATGACTAGTTTTCTCTATGTATCTGTCAAAATAAATAAAAATCTGTACTATTATTATATTCCTCTCTGTTCAGATTAAAAAAGTATAGTGGTTAAGTTCTGTATTTATGTGAGGTTCTTCGTAGCATTTTGTATTTAACGGTGCTCATACTTTATAGGTGAGCGTCTTACACAAAGTAGACATGTCAAAGTTTTCTTTACGATCAAAATTCATGATGATTTACATATGATAGAAGTATCGGTATACTACAATTAATTATTTTATAGGGTGACTCCGAGAGTGTATCGCCCGCTAATCATTCATTACTTCAGCAAGTTGGTGATGAAATACATTCAACAATGGCTGGTCGAGTAATGTCAAATATGGCAAAAATGGCATCAAGTAAAATGTCCGAACTACTTGGTAAACTATTTTGTAATCTTGATCTGAATTTTAATTTAATTTTCTTGTTCATATAGCAACTAGTGCTGAAAATCCTCGTCAAGCAAATTCTCAATTGATTCGAGCTACTCGACCGCCACCCTTTCCATTTCCAAAACAAAATCGTAAAATAGAAAAACCTAGTCTAGTCAAACATGGTACAACAGCATCCAATACTGCAATGGCTACTCGACAACAAAATGTCGAAACAAAAGCTAATACTCATAGCGAAAATCAACAATTTTTAAAAGATATTGTTACGAATATTCTCGATGGACAAGGCATTGGTTGGTTGAAAATAAATCGAGTTAAAAAATTAATGGAAGATGAAAATTATCGAAATTTCGTTCTCAGCCGTTTGAATACAAATCTCGATAAAAAATATTCCGATGAAGATGATCATATTGAAGATGTTGTATGTTGATAATTTAACTTTTGCTTTACTATTAATAAATAATTTTATTTTTGTAGAAAGTAACTCGAACTATTTTCAAAGGTATGACAAATATATTACGAGCTGTTATTCAAGGTCTTGAAGTCACATTTGAAAATAATGGTCTTGGCGGTATGGCATCAACAGTTCAATTACTTGAAATAGCCCATACACATTATTGGATAAAAGATGCTAAGAATGATTTAAGTCCAATGTCCGAACGAAATAGTCCTCTTAGCAGTAGTCGAGAAAGTCTATCATCAATTGATCCAAATATCCCATTGAATACAGTACCGCTTCCACCCGCGGTTCCTAATCAACAGCAACAGCAACAACAACAACCAAGCAATGTACCAACTCCAAATACTGGACTTGCTGCACATTTAGGTGAATAGAAGTTTTTTTAAAAGATTCTTTCAGATTTAGGAAAAAAGAAAATTTTCAGGAAGTTTATGGCGTGAATCAAAACTAGCGCTTGCACGTAGCTATGCAACAGCTGCACAAGCAGGCATAAATCTTGGAGGAAATGTGGAACTTCGGACTAATCCAAAACATTCATTTTCGCCTCATGTACCGTTTCATTCGCCACTCACTGTCAGCCCATCATTATCATCGAATATGAATGCAAATATTCGTCCGATGCACTCTGAAACAATAGCGGGTACATTGAATATCGTAATTCTTGTGTTGTTTGTTCTATATTACCTTACTTTGTTTTGAATGTGTTTGAATACTAAAAAGAATATTATTTCATAATCATTTATTTAATTTGTCATTTTTCAATTTATTTAGATTCAGTCGAGACTAACAGTGGTGATTCTAGGAGTAAAGAAAATTCGTCTCGAGCAAAACCCGTTTCAGAAGATAAATCAATGGGTATCACTTCTGCCAATGGTCAAAAACAAGCAACCATCAACGCGCACGAAACAAGTATATAAAAAATTTGACTCACGAATTTTCAAAAAAAATGCATTATATTTTCCTAGCTGACAATCATGTTCGACCTGATTCATTGAATTTTACAAATGAAGTAAACATAGAGTTTTCAACAATTTGTTTTTGTTTCTAATAAAATTTACTTTTAGTCTGTACCTAAAATATCTACAAATATATCACGCATAAATTCAATAGTAGCCGATGAAGAAAATGGAACAGATTCAAGCTCATCTAGTCGACGTCCATCTAAAATAAATCATCATCATATACGAACATCAAATCAATTGAATGATGAAAAATTAAAAGTTCGACGATTATCAAATGTATCATCAGTTAAAAGTGTTTTCTCTGCTGGACATAGGTAATTGCTGAAATTTATTTTTATGAAAACAAAAAATAATCCTAGAGAAGGTTGATAGTAACTTGTCAATATGTATGAGACGGCTATGGATTTTTTTCTAAAATTCTCCATTTATTTGATAGAAATTTGAAAGATCCGTATAGATTTCAATATTAGAAGATTATGGTCTATTCATTTTAATAAGAAAAACGAATTAATAATGTTTTCATAGCTTATAGGATTATAATAGAATATGATTACAGGTAAAACTAACAATCAGCTATCGAATTTCTTGATTCAGGCTGATATTGATATCAAATATCAAATATCAAATATATTTTTTTAATATCTACCACATTTTTCCTACCGTTTACAATCGATTTATTGACTCAATTGCTTACTCTGTAGAGTAAGTAAAAATCATGAACGAAAAGAGATATTTATTGTAATTGACCGAACTAATGAATCTATGACTTTGCAAAAGAAATGAATAATTTTTTATAAATATATTTTTACATACAGAACTTGTTGATTTAGATATCGTAATGGATTGATTGTACAAGCAACTGAAAATAATTCAACGTCTCCTATTGATAAACAGTATTTATTCGAAATTCTTATCGGTAGTTCACGTAGTCATTTATGGGATCAAATGCAAGTGTGGGAAGATGTATTTCTTGATGCTGTCGCACAAGAGCGTGATATTATTGGTCTTGATCAAGGTCCAGCCGAGATGATGGAACGGTAAACCTTCTTCTTTAACAAAAAAAGAAAAGAAAGAAAATTTTCTTTTCTATGTTTTAAGTTATTATTCATTATCGAATGCGGATCGTAAACGTTTAGAATTAGATGAAGATCGTTTATTAGCAGTTATGCTTTATAATTTGGTCGCATTTATGATAATGATGCGTGTCAGTAAAGAAGAGGTTCGTCGAAAAATTCGTCGAATACTTGGCCGTTGTCATATTGGTTTAACAATGAGTCAACAAGTCAATGAATTACTTGATAATGTTGCTAATTTGGTAAATATTTAACGAATACAAAATCATCATCACACTATATGACTTCTAATCAAATGTATTCTTTTCTTTTAGAATGGCAATGACGTTGACTTACGTCCATCAGGTAGCCGTCTATTACAAAAACAAAGTTTCACCGTACATTGGGGAACAGACAATACTGGTGATATGCTATTTATGGAGGTTAGAAAAGAAACAAATTTTCTTCTATGTATTTTATTTACTCATCGTATTTCTAATAGGTTTGGGACGATTGTATTATTCTTCGAAGTGTACTTGGCGAAGTTTATGATCGTTGTTGGTTTGAAAAATTAGTCAATATGACATTTTGTCCAAAGACAAAAGTACTTTGCCTATGGCGTAAAGCTGACGGTGAAACGCAACTTAATAAATTTTATACAAAACGAGTATAAACAAAAAATTTGAATAATAAACGAAAATTTAATACGAAATCATTTAGTGTCGTGATCTATATTTTTCAATAAAAGAAGCCATGGAAAAGGCAGCATCCCGAATGAAAGGCGTATTACCAGGTGAGAAAAAGCATTTTAATTTTTTTTAAAGAAAGAATCAACAAAATTCTGTTTTTTTTTATATAAAGGTCAAGAACTCGGTGGCGAATTTCCCATAAGAGATGTTAATACAGGTGAAGGAGGAATCCTACAAGTGTGCCTTGAAGGCATTTGTTTAACATTTGAAAATGATAAGGTATAATTTAAGAAAATATGAAGCAGTTTTATTTATATGTCTTGTTTTTAATTAGGAATTTATTGAATTACAGAAGATCCGAAAATGTACAACACAAAAAGGAGATATATTTGTACTGGAAGAATTCGGTATTGATCAAGAAATAAAACATCATGTTTTTTGTTTTATTTCAATTTTTCATTCATTTTTTTAGATCCGAATACAAAACAAATTCTTATTAGAAAATATAAATCGTCAACGGTAAGTGTTTCAGCTATTCGTATAGATTATCTGTTAAATGTTGTCTTGTGATGTATGTGTAGGCGAGTAGTGCACTGCTTGCTTTTCATCGTGTTGTATCCATTTTGGTGGAACGTCGCAAACTATACTCTGCTAATAGTATATCCAATGTTAATAATCATCACACGCAGCAGATTATCGATGAATTAGGTATTGTTCGTGTTCTATAATCTATTGGGATTTTTATTTAGCTTTCTAAATGTTATCTAAATATTTATTATTTACATGTAATGGAGACTTGCTGGCACGCCTCAGCTATGTCAACAATCCGTGACTAAAAAATAGATTTAAGTCATAGCTTTTATTATAATCAGTATTCAATGGAGAATGCGTTTGCAAAATTTCAACGGATCATAAAGAAAAATAAATAGATAAACGCGCATAGAACATTTTATGAGATGAATTAAATAGTTGATCGGCTCTGTCGTCGATGAAATTTAGTCAATATAATAAATGAAAAATCCTTTCAGTTGATTATTAAAAATAGATGCATAATTTTCTATCCTAAAATCTCTTCATAAAATAATTGACTTCGAAAATACTTAAAATTAAATGAAGAGTGCTTAATGTGAGGTTGATTTTGAATAAATCATACGAAACAAAAACGTCAGCAAGTTGTTTATGACCTCAATCGCATATGAAAATAAATCTGTGTCATAATAAATGGTTTTTGTTAGACGATATTTTGTTTTTCGTACTAAAATAAAAAAAGTATTATGTTCCTAATTTTTAGGCTGATCGTATTTGTTATGCCATTCTATGTGTATTTTCATATTTCGAAGCTGGGAATGATCAACAGCAATAATTAGAGAAAAGCAATTTCAAAAACAAAAATCTCATTTGATTCCATTTGGCAACTAGGTCATAATGTCGTAGATCTTAATTTTTTCTTCTTCGTTTATTTTGCGTTTTTCGATTGAATTTAAACATTTATTTCCCATTCTATTTTCTAATTATTAAAATGCTATTGTCTTCCTTGTACCATCATTTTTTGTTTCATTCTAGTCACATTTGGTAAAAAAAACTTTATTTGTTATTTTCAACAATATAGTACCACATTTTGACGATGAATTATGTAATATGTTCGTGCATGTGCGTCTTTCCGTTTTGCTTTCTTTCATTTCCCGACAGTAGACATGTTTTATTTGTTGTTCATTCATTTAAATTTATTTGTCTGTTTTCTTTCCGTTAACTTCATCTCAAGTGTACAGTGTTCTTTTAGTTCACTTTTACCGATTCCCAAAAAATATATTCCTGTCTATATATGCAATACAAAATGCCTTTATTTATTAATTCATCAATGATCTATTATAATGGAATAATATCAAAACAATCTAGAAAAAGAAAATATCTGATTGGAAAGTAGCGCGGTTGATTAAAAACAAAATGGGGAATATATTATTACGGTGCGAAGCACTGTATAGCGATGCTTCGAAGTCGCCATTTTTAATGCGATGCGAAGCAGAAGCATTTATGTTATCCGTCGCGAGTTTTTTTTTTTTCTTTCTTTTTTACTTGAGATNCATAAGCAAATACTAGCCACACGTATGTCTGTTCACAGCTGATTATAGATAATGAATCATACAGATAATTAATCAATCAATCGAAACCGTTCTTTAAGAATATATCGCTAAGTATGAATCGAGTTTTCCTAGAGATGAATTTCATCATGTCTCATTAAAAGAGTGAAATATTTCTTCGAATTGAAAATTTTTCGTAGTAGATTCGATTCAAGCTTCGCATCGCATTTCGTATACGAGTAAAGCTCGGATACCATCTAGTTTTTAATGCGATGCGAAGCAGAAGCATTTATGTAGTCCGTCGCGAGTTTTTTTTATTTTTTTTATTTTTTTATTTTTTTATTTTTTTATTTTTTTATTTTTACTCACTTGATGTACGCATCACAAGTCGTCATTTTGTGACGCGATGATCTCGAGAACCGAAAATCGTAGAAAACTCGTTGAAAAGTGAGATCGAAGTATCAAGATCGAACCTTTTACATCTGTTTTCGAATCTTTAATCTGAAGTTTTGTTCAGTCACAAATGTGGTTCCAAAATGACAAAAATGAAAGAAATTTGTTGCGAGATAATTAAAGTGACGTCACGAACATATGTTATCCACTATAGCTTATTCATTTACAGCTGATCTAAGATAACGAATCATCGAGATAATTAATCGATCAATCGAAATTGATCCTTAAGAATGTATCGCTAAGTAAGAATGGAGTTTTCTCAGTGATGAATTTCATCATGTCGACATAAAAAAGTATTCAAGATTTCTCTGAATCGTAGATTTTTCGTGAAGATCCGATTCGAGCTTCGCATCGCATTTCGTTTTCGACTGAAACTCAAACACCATCTAGTTTTTCTATCGATATTTAATGAGACGAATACGAACGCAAAAGAGTACGTTCGTGGTAATGTTCTCTCTTTTTCTGCGCAATTGTATGGTTATTAAGCGGAATATATATATAATACAAGTTTCATATTCTTTCCTAAAGAAATGTATATAAAATACTAATATAAAAAAAGCTTTGTGGTCTGTATTATGCATCATTGATATTAAATTATAGACATATCTGTCTATATGCTAAATGTTTTCAGATCATCTCTTATTAGAGGTCATCTAAATAATTAATCAACTTAACATACATTAAGTAATTTGACAGCTTGTCATTATAATTTACTTCGGCAAACGCTGTTTCCGATTGTAGTTATTCTAGATGACATATCATATAATAGTCAAAATATTGCTCTTTTTTCAACCAGAAGTTTTTGAGTAAAAGTTGTTTATATGCGTGGAATTGCTTGTGTATTTTTTCTTGAGTCATAAACTAATACGTCGGTTGTGATGACGCCCACACCCGACATCAGCAGTCAATCTATTTTTTTATTTTTTTTCGCTTTTTACAAGAGTAGTCAAATACAGAAAAAAACATTCTAGCATGAAATTTATAATTGATTTTTCTTTCAACACCTACTAACTTCATGTTCTTCTATATATACATAGACACATATTTGCAATTGAAAATTTGACGACATCATTCGTTTTTCCTTTAGTTTTTTTTTTACAAATCGTCATGCAAGTTTTGACGCTCTCAACCATTTCTGTTGTTGTAGTGATTCTTTTATACTGTAAGATAGAAATTTATTGATGAGATATCTTTTAATTAGGATTCTTCTATTGTGTCTAGCACCGGTAGCATCATCAGAAAATATTCAACCAGCTGCGAAGATATCCAGAAGATATATTCATGAGTCACCAAGTTATTCAAATTTGTTATCACTTTTGAAAAGCCGAGAAAGACAATTCAATCAACGAGAAGATATCGGCGAAGTCAACGACGAAAACGACGAGACCGGCGACGAAAATAATGAACTTGGCGACGAAAACAATGAACTTGGCGACGAAATCAACGAACTTGGTGACAAAATCACCAACGGAAAACGTAAACTCCCGGATGATTTATTGAGGGGAAAAGAAGCAACCTTTCAACGGTTTTTTCTTTCCCCCGTCGACCGCGCTAGTCGTCGAACTCGACCATCATACGGTTATGGAAAAAAGCCTCATTGGGATACATTTTTTGGAAAAAAATAAATTATTCTGTTACATAATGCATGCGTTATCCTCGTTCGCATCTAAATTAGTCATACTATCAATATATTGGACATACGATCGGTCCATTGAAAACTATCATTTCAGAAGAATTTAGCACGTCTTACACTTTGTATTCATTATTTTTTTTTGTTCTCACTTTTAAATATTTGCATTGGCAACGAAAAGCAAGTAGCTTGAAGAGGGTTTTGAATAACGATGATCAACAATAGTAATGATTACATATCACAGTTTGACATTATGTAGGATAATCGTATCGCATCCGACAGCGAAAAAGAGCAGAGTGCAAATAATTGCTTTCATCCTTTTCTGCCCCGCTGTCACCTTTAAAAATAGTATTTGGAGTTTTTGAAGCAAAGTGCAGTGAACGGTAAAAATTAATATATAGAATTGCTTGCCATCGATACAAATTCGAATGAACATGCCAGGAAATAAAATGATTAGTGATGCTCTTCTATCCGAAGAATTTTTTATTTGGGATTACTCACATATATACTATCGGATAGCAATATTTGTATGAAATATTGCACCAGTAAAGACATGGAAATATTTTTAAACACTATTTGACGAAAAACTGCACTTAGAAATAATAACAAAACTAATGCATTGAATATTAAATCTGAACTAGAGTACATTTATTTTAATTAAAGAATTATATCCTTCTATGCATTGTATCTGCAATGGTGTACCGAATTTTCTAAACAATGAAAGGCAATTTTTATTTAAAATGAAAATAAATAAGATTTTTACTTGTAAATAACAATTTTAAAGAGCGGTTCACATCTAACTGTTCTATTTTTAGTAGTATAATCCTTGAACATATCAAATGAAATCTTCGGCCAAGGTTCTTATCATTTTTGTCGGTGTTAAATAGCTTCCTGCAGGGTGGAAAGTCGCAATTACTCACGTATCTTTCGGTTACTAGTTCATGTGTTGAATAATATACTGATATTCAAGATCTAATAACTGACGCCTTCCAGTCAAAACGCCCTATGATTGCAATAGAATTTTAGCTGAATAGTTACAAGAAACAAGGTTTTATACTACCAACATGTACTCAAATTATCAATAGTCATGATTGTGATGCCAATTTAAATATCAGTAAATAATGAAAGATATTACTCATGGATCTAAGTGACAAGTAGACTTCATTTTTAAAGAGATTAAAAGCTTAAAAACTTTTGTCAAAATCCTTAGAAATATATTAATAATACTGGAAACCTAACCTCAGATCTGCATTTTGATTAAAATACCGTTTATACAAATAACAAGTTCTGTTTACTCAAGTAAAATCGAGTATAAACCACATTTGCATCAAGACTTGCTTTTATTGATGCCGCTCTGTGATTAAATTTAAGCGCTCTGATATAACCAACCATGGTTATGAAAGAACTACTTGTAATTGGTTGGTATTGAATAGACTGAATCATACAATTCGAAACTCTGACACAGTAATCGTAGTTCCAGATAGAGGCTTTTTACGATCAATGCGCCACAATTACACTTCACTGCAGCGTCGAATGGGTTCTACGTGTAATTTTGGCACAGTTGGTTAAAAAAATGGCGAGAGGGAGAATTTTTTAGAGTAAACTTTTACCATAACGTTAAAATCTAAATCTTCATTGGATGTTTTTTCAATGAATTTAGAGAGCGAAAATATACAGAGTAGTTTTTTTTTCTATTCAGCGATATATTATCGTTCGTTTTGATTCAGTAGGTCTTGTTTTTAATAAATAGTAACTAACCTCTCCAATAATAGAAGCCCTGGGGCTTCTAAACTAGCCATTTTTAAAAAAATTTTAAGGGGGCTTCTATTATGGAAGGACTACTAGCGCGACTTTCGTACAGAAGTTTGCAAAAAAATTAAAAAATTCAATCACTCGATCCAACATAAGCGATAAAATTTTTAATCTCTGTTATCCAAAATATCAATTGAGACTGAAACAACTTCAAACAGATTGTTTTGATTCTTTTAATTTTTTATTGTTTTTTTCTGATTTTTAAGTTTATTTAATTTTTAGTTTATTGGTGATTTTCTTTTCATTTTTTCTAATTTTAAATTAATTGATTTAAAATCAAGAAAATAAGAAAAATCACAGAAACAAGAAAAGTCTGATTTCAGCTGTTTGCCCTTTGTAAGAGAGTCATTATTTCAATGATCTTGACTATTTATTTGCGATAAGTCCAAATAATTTTACGAAAATCTGTGAAATTTTATATAGAGAGACAAAAACAAATTACTACTGTATCAATACAAGCCCAGGGGGGGGGCTCTAATCCATTTTCATATTGACCTCTCTCTGGGGGG